TAGGGAGCTTCCTTGTCAGGTGTCTTCTGGTGTGTTGTGAAGAACCAGTGAGTTTACCGCTTACCTGTGCTAAGGGAAAACTGTGTCCGAGCTCTCTGAGTTGCCAAGAATTGATAAACGGAGTGAAGTGTGATGGTACACACATGTAATCCCAGTGCTAGAGGCAGAGGCAGGTTAACCAGGGTTACATGGAGAAATTGTCTCAAACAAATGAGAAGAATTGAGAAAACTATTCTGATATGTGTTGACACAGTGAAGGGAGCAGATGTCTAAGCTCTGGAGAGATGGTTGCCAAACTCATATTCCGCAGGATCTTCAGTACCACGTTCTTTCCAGGAGTGTTCACTCTGCCATTAACGCCATCTGCCTGAGGCCCCTGCAGCTGTGTGCATTCCCAGCACCCTTATGACACCTCACAATCATCCCTGTGTAACTCTTCCTCCAGACCCCCCTTCTGGCCTCCTTGGGCACTGCATGCACATGGTTCCTTTAAATGCAGGCAAAACAAGACCTCTGAGCATGGTTATGCACACCCTTAATCCCAGCATTTGGGAGGTAGGGGCAGGTAGGTGTTGAGTTCAAGGCCAGCCATGGCTACACAGTCCCTGTCTCAAAAAAAAAAAAAAAAAAAAAAAAAATTATGAGGATGCAAAAATAAGGCAGTCTAATTAAACACCAGAGTGAACTCCAAACAAAACATAATGCAGGGTTCCCACCTTACTGTAAACAAATATAATTTTTTCCTCCATTTAATCTAATACCCAGTTCCTGGTATAATCAAGTTTACAGGTCCCAGCAAATTATAAGTAAGCTTGATGTCGCAAATCACTTCCTGGTATAATTCATGTCTCCAGCCTGCAGTGTATACATTCTGCATGCTTTCTTCCTCATGGCTTTCAGCACAATTTTCATTTAATATTTGCCTTTCTGAAAAAAAATATATTTGTAGAATTTCTAAGCAAAAGCAACATTTCCTCAATTGTGGTAGAACTGATAGCCACAGGAGGTCCAAAATCACGGTAATTTATCGCTTTGCTGTTGTACAATCATGTGTGGGAGTGTTCCCATTAGAAATGTATCCTGCTTTCAGGCCGGCAGACTTACAAAGCCTGCATTATGCAGCGCTGGTGCAAATAAAGAAAATGGCTGCATTAGCAAATTCAGAACAGGCACTTTTTTTTATTTTGCATAAAGAATAGAAACATCAGAACCAGGTAAGGCAGACTAGACGGTAGACTTCCTGCTCCAGCAAGGTGCTCTGCACAGCAGCTGGGGCAGAGGTTCATCCATAGCATCTTCACTGACCCCGCCTTTACAGCCAGTGGGAACTGTTCTTCACTAGTGCTCTTTACAAGGCTCTGCAGACCTACCTAGTGGGTTCACAGTAGGTCTCATGGAATGAGACACATGTTTCCATATTCCATTTATGAGGTTCTTGGCTTGAGCATGTTGGACCGTTCCCTCCCATGTGCTAGCCTTTGGTTCCTGCATGTGGCTCAGCTGGGAGACTGGATCCGAGGCTCAAGGAGTCCTCCAAAATGCAAGTGCCCACAAAAAGCATTGTCAGTGAGGCCAACAGGTCATGATTTGAGATCTCCAGTAAGCTGATGACCTCAGACATTTGTTAGGTAGGGACAGGGCAGCCTCCACTGTTCTCAAGTTGGAGCTCGAACAGAGGGATTCTATGCTGTAACAAACAGCAGGTAACAGAGACAAAGCCTTACCTTTCCAGCAAGGAGTGGCAGGGCTTATTTTGATTTTTTTTTTTTTTTTTTTTTTTTTTTTTTTTTCAATTTGGAAAATCACTTCAACTCTACAAACTGTCATATAAACAAAAAGCAAGCATGTCACCTAGCCAGTGGGCAGCTGGCATGCACTGGTGAAGCTCAGCCCACTTCTTAGACATTACAGTTTTAATTGTGAGCTGTTAGTCCCATACACACTGCTGTCCTCTGCGCCCCACCTGCCTGCCCTCCCTAACCTAGACGCAGAATATTGCTCTCAACCACAATGGTGGATTTTCATTTGTTTTAGGTTTCAGTGTTGGGGATTAAGTCTAAGGTTTCTAACTTGTTAATTAATCTCTCTGCCACCAAGCTATTCAGCCCAGCTCTTCACCTGGACCATCCTACATGAAGAACCAACTTACCAAACACAAGTGACATCCGAGTTGAGATTGGTGCAGACTATTTTCAAATAACATTTCAGGCATGTGCACTGGCTGTGTTGTCCAAACACATCTATGTCAGCAACAAAATACCCAAGGGCTTGCTTCCTTTGTGGCCATCTCGGCCCTGGGCCTCCGGGTGGGTCTGCCCTAAAGAAGCAAGTCCCCTGCCCTGGGCTAATTTGAGTGTTGGAAGAAGTGATTAATTTGGGTGTTCGAAGAACTCTTGGCCTCTACCACTTGATACCACTTAGGGTTGACATAATTTTCAACATCTCTGCTGTGTGAGAGTAGTTTAATCTGACTTCAATCAAGAGAGTTTTAAGAATGAGTGAAAACAACAAAAACCAAAAAAAAAAAAAAAAAAAAAAAAAAAAAGGCAAGCAGGAGATCTGCCTTGTGGACTGGCTCAGCCTAGGGAAAGATTATGTCTAAGTAATCTTTGTAAGAACAAGAGCGGTTTAAAAAAAAAAAAAAAATCACAACAAGAACTGTTTGAGTCAACACAGGTGATTATTTTCGGTTTAATTGTTATATCCGCCATCAATATCGGAACTTGAATTCGGAGAGCTTAAAATGTAAATTTCAAAACCTTCATCTTCGGATCAAGGGTCTACAAACTGCAGCCTCAGGCCAAATCCAGCAGCTGTGTTTCTGTAAGCTGTTTTATTGGAACACATCCATACTTTCCACACTGAAGTTGAGGCAGCTTTCACACCAGAACAGCACAGTGACAGATTGTGACAGACTGTATGTCTATCAAAGCCTAAAGTATTTATCCTTAAAGAAAATTGTCAACCCATAAGACAATTCTGTCCCTTTGCCATGCAGGAGAAGGGTCAATGGAGGATGTGGGATGTCCCTAGGGCCCAGGCCTTTCTCTTCCCAGGCCCTGTGTGCCTGGAGAACACTTTCAACAACAACAAAAAAAAAAAAACATGAATGGTCAGAGTATTGGGGTAAGCGACAAGGGCCTATGTGTGGGCAGACAGGATGGAGGACTCTGGCTTTCAGGACAGGCTCCAAAGAACCAGCAACTGCCTGAGTTTCAGATCGCTTGTGCTCTGAAGTCTGGGTACTGGAGAGGGAGCACAGATCAAGCTGGGGAGAGGTCTGTGTATGCAGAGTGAGCAGAAGGTCTACACAGGAGGACAGTGACAGGGCGCGTACAGTACAAGCGGAACTCAGCAGATGAGGAACACAGACACTGAAAGCAGGTGCCTCCCAAACAGAGACTGAGGAAGACAGAAGTGTAAGAGCTAGCACTGGGTGGCAATTTCGGGGCATGTACATGAACTTACATGCAGTTATGACTGACTACACACATATACATATGTATACACACATACACATCATATGCACGTGTTCACTCACCTTGACCACTGAAAGCCCTGAAGCAGTAATGAGCATCAGCAAAACAGATTCATCACTCGGATCAAGGCTTCTATCATTTCCCACTAAAACGAGTCAAGCTTCTACAGAGAAGCATTCAATTAACTCCAGAGTTGGCCTAGGGAATTCAAGATGATCCCCAAACACTGTTTTTGCCAGGGTCCTCAGCGAATGGCAGGGACATGATTAAGAAGATGCAGAAACCAGCTTGAACATTCCATTGGCCAAATCGGGGACAATTTGAGCATCAAGATTAATGAAAGCAATGGATTATAGCTTGCTAAATTAAAATGGGATTCCAAAAGTATATAATGTATACCAATAACTCTGTAAGTGAATGGAATGCTTGATGAGGAATGAGCAATAAGCAGATCCTAGGCACTGGCGTTCAAAAGGTTTATTTATTCATTATGAAAGGAGGGAACAGAGTCAATGTGTAGGAGTCCGACAGACATGCCTTCCATCAAGGAATCAAAGTGACATCAGCAGAGGACAAGTGGAGACCATACGCTATGATGTCACTTCTGGATATTCTGACCAAAGGTGTCCAGACTAGATTTACTCATGAAATGCGCCAGATAAACCCCAAACTGAAAGCTATCCTATAGATGGGGTGTTGAGGAGCTTTCCAGACCAAAAGAAACCAATCAGATGGTGCGCTCGACTCCACTCTGGATGAGGGGAACACTGGAATTCCTTTCTGGATCCTGAGTGGCATCTGTGTGCCAAATGGTGACAACGGAACTGTGTGAACTTCCTGAGTCTAGTGGGTGTGGGTAGGAGAGTTGCTGCTCCACCTGGGTAATCTGGATACATGGATGCTGAGTCCATGGGTCTGGGCAGCACTGGGATCCTGCCTACCTCATCCATAGCCAATGATGTCCTAGTGCTGCCCGGGGACCACACTAGATGTAGTCAGGATCTGGGAAACTGATGAAGGGTATCTCTCTTGGCCCCAAATACCCTCCTCACTGGTTCGGTGCCAGCATCTGGTCTTCCTCTGGGAACAACCCCATCCCATCTCTGTGCTTTGAGTCTGATGGCATGAAGTGTATAACCTGGGCATGCCAGCAATCCATTCTCCAGCCATTAGGGAAGGTTCAAGGCTAATCCTGAGACCCAGACAGTGATATGAAACTCTGAGGCCTGGCTGGACTGGCACAACCTCTATAAACTGCTCCTACAGGCTCCTTGAATGCCAAAGCTGGTATCTCAGGCCTGGTCTTCTGCTCTCTCACTCCCAAAAGTCACAAGATCTTTTTAAATTCCACCACAAAGCAACTGTGTAAGCTGAGATGACTGAGTCTGTGTTTGCCTCAGTGACCTCAAGTATAAAACAGGGTGCTGCTTACATGGGTGGGGTGTTTGTTCTGAGGACAAATGACAATAGCCACCACATGCCATGCTTTATACCTAGCTACCATGAAGTACATGCCCAGTAACCTCCTAGTCTATGGATCCACACAAAAATAAGAGATGACATTTCGCTAGTCTGTTTTAGGTCACCTTCTGTATTGGGAGTACTTTAACATGAGATGTGATAAAGCTGAGAGATAAAGATGGTGAGAGATAAAACTGAACATTTTGCTTCGAAGCCACCATTCTCTCTTGGTTCCAGAAATGTCTGCATAATAGCCTGGCTACTCAGTTTTTGTCCAACTTATTCCCATTCCATACTGGGTTGCTTATATAAAAATATAACCAACGGAAATAAATAAGAGACACTTCAGGTGCCACCAAGTCCCTGTTTTTGTTTTTCTTTTTTTTTTTTTTTGTTTGTTTGTTTGGTTTTGTTTTTTGGTTTTTGTTTTTTGGTTTTGTTTTGTTTTTGTTTTGTTTTGTTTCTCCTATCACAAGCCCAGGCCCCTGATCAGAAATCCCTTTCAACTGTCTTTATTCTACTGCCATCCTGTGGCTGACCTGTGTCACTGCAACGCCAAGGGCTGCAGCTGAGATCTGTCATCTTTGTCCTCCGTGGGTGGGCTCCGGTAGGAGGCAACTAGCCCTGAAGAAGAGTCCCGCCAGCGGGAGCAAGCCTGGGTGAGCATCACCAGTCTTGAATTGACTTCTGTTTGATGAACCTCAAGGACAGATAGTACAGGAACAGGAAGCCACAGCTGATGCCAATGACGATGAGGTAGATGGCATAGAGCGGATGTGAGTTCAGGTCCATGGTCGTGGTCATCTGCAGACACAGACGACACTCGCTGAGCTCCCATGGATGCCGTCCCCTTGGCACACCACTTGGATTGAGAATCCCCAGCCTTCACTACTCACCTTGTCTCCGGGGACTGAGAAGGTGAGGTTGCCAATCTGCCATGTGTACAGGTACCCGTTGAACTGAATCTGCATCAGTCCGGCGAAGCACCAGCGGAGGAAGGACACCTTGGAGATCCACGCAGGTACTGAAGACAGACGGACAGCAAAGCTCGGTTATTCACACAGTCTCTGCCGCCACATCTGGACACCCTGCCTGAGTCTCCAACTGCCCCTGGAGAGAGGAGTCAGGCTGACTGCGGCCAGGGGAAGAGTCCTCAGAGGATTGAGGGTCAGAATAGACAAGGGGACAAAGGAATAATTTTTGTGGCTGGGGACACCGTGCCCAGGAGGCCGAGGAGTGGCCTTGATTACACGCTTGATCCCTACCAGTTTGTGACAGTCATTGCATTATGCCACATATGCTCAGCCAGCCCCTCACCACAGACCCTGACCCTGGGGAGCCCTCTGCTGGGAGAGGAGGACCCTGACCCTGGGGAGCACTCTGCTGGGAGAGGAGGATGCTGCAAGCCCTGTCCAGGTGTCAGGAAAGGCTGGCTGAGGAGGTGGGCAATGGTGAGTGTGGAAGAGAGGTCCCAGAGGTTCAGCGATGAGAAGGTTGAGATACTGGAGGCTTCACAATAAATATCTGGGGTGGGGGGGGGGGACAGGGAACACCAGGGAGCCAGCAGCTCTGACAGGCTTTAAACAAAGAGGGACAGGAACTTGTCCCTCAGAAAGCTAGCTCACTATGCCTAGCTGAACACCGAGAAGGCCACCGAGAGACCAGACTGTTACAGTGGCACAGGGTTCAATGATGAGGGCCAGGGCTGTGATAAAAACCAAGCAGGTATTTCAGGCCAGGCTCCCTGGGAGATGTGGCGAGGGAGGGACTCGGGGTGACTGCTGGATATATGTGAGGGCTGTGAGGAAGGGTCCGCTACCCCACTGCCTGAAGTGCTAACTGCAGACACCTAACTGGTGAACTCTCACCTCTAGATGAGGACTTAACCAGCCATAGAGTGCTTGGCCAAGCAAAGGGGCATAGTGTGGCACTGACCACACCCACTGGGGATGGGAACAGGGGCAGAGTCACCTGGGGGAAGTAGGTCTGGGGAAGGGGCCCGAAACTCTCTCTTGCTTGCAACATGGGGACAGAAGAGCCCCGGAGGCATCCTTGGGACCAGGAACCTGCTGGTGTTCATCTGTCTCTGTTGTAAGTTACTTCTCCCTGAATAAACATCTATTCCACCTATTTGTTTCTGCTGATCCTTATTAAACCACAATAAAGGGGGGGCAGGCCTCACCTGTCCACAGGTTCTCCAAGTTTATCATGAAGCCCGCAGTAAGATAGAAGGAGTTGTAGAGGGCGTTGCAGAAGAAGGAGGACATGTGGAAGGTGGGCAGCAATGCGGAGGCAGCCAGGGCCATGGTCCTGCAGCAGAAGACCACCAACCACACAAGCATGAAGTGCAGGAAGAAGAGCTCAGGGACCGGCCGCAGGTTGGTCAGCCAGTAGATGGGCATCCCGTAAATGATGACGTAAGCACAGTGCTCGGGCAGTTCGCCAAGGACCTGCAAAGCACAACTGCAAATCTAGGATACAGAGCCAACACCCGCATTTGCCATTATCTGAAGATGTTTCAAGTAGCAGCAGCTCCCAGGATGCCGGCATTCTTTCTCAGTGAAGGAGGGAATGGCAGGTAAGACCCATGAACCTGACCTCTCCCCGGGCTTCTACTGCAGGATCATCTCAGAGCTGGGCTCCATGGAGGCAGCTGGTTTATCCTCTGCTAAGACCTGGCTCAATTCTCCACCCTTCCTGCCCAGACCTGGTAGCTGTGTGCCTTTATGAGAGTCATACAGCCTCATTGAGCTTCTTCCTGGAAACATCTGTCTGGCTTGCTCGGGCCTCTGGAGATGTAAAGTACCACATGGTGTTACCCACTTCTCTCTCTTGGTTCTGGCTGCACAAAAAAGTTATCATTTTTATTTCTCTGCCCTGGCCTTTCTGTGGACCATTTAATGGCTGGCAAGTTTCTGAAACTCTTCTAGAGAATTCGGTATTTGCAGCCACAGAGAATGCACGGCTCGGTGTTTCTACAAAACTCTTTCCTGCAATGTCTGCACAACACCCTGCAGCTCTTGCTCTTGGTCCTGACCTTGGCAAAGAAGTATGGACCAGCAGTGTACAGCCCGTCTTCCAGCTCATAGTACAGCATCGACCGCTCCGAATGACCTAACGATGCGGGAGGAGAAGGAGATGAATGAGTCAAAGTCATCTATACTATTACTGATGTTGCTCCTCTCCTAATGTCATCCGTCTCTTGTAATATACCATTGAAAGTGGTGATAGGAAGCCTGTGTGTTATTCACTAGCAGAACACTTGCCCAGCATGAACAGAGCTAGGGGTTCAATCCCCAGCACTATGCGTGGGTTAGGGGTAGCTATGCTTTCTGCATTTGTTCATATGCTTTGTAAATTACAGGCAAGGTGACGCTATCCTATTCCCGGTGTTCCACAGGCTCTCCGGGTACTGAAGCAAGTTGCTGTCAAGCATAAATCCTGTTTGGTTGGTCAACAGCTAAGACACCACAATTTGCTTTTGTTACATGCTAATGTTAATGTGCTAATTAAAAAAAATAATTGCTGCATTTGTTGCACAAGCATGATGAAATGGTTTCATAAAGCCACTGTCCCAAGGTGCTGGGAGAAACCCAGGGGTCAGCCTCAGACCAGTGCAGGGGGTGGCTGAGGTCCCCTGTCTAGTTGCTGATGTCCTCTGTCCAGCTACCCTGCAGTCCGGTGAGGAGAGCAAGTGGCACTCACATTTGGAGACAACGTCCAGGATGACATTGAAAGGGATGAGCGCTCCTATCATGAACAGGAGGGCTGCTGTGTCCATGAAGGAGAGTGGCTTGGTGTCATGGCCATAGTAAAGGAACCCAATGATGAGAGACATCAGGCAGGCTTCCGCCCCGTGGATGAGCATGGTGGGCAGGTCTCGGAAGTCATTGGAAATCTGACGACTTTAAAGAAAGAAAGGAAAAAAGGAGTGTCAAAGGAACAACTCACCTTAGGAATGTCATATCATTGCCAGAAGCCTTATTTCCTCATGTGCCAAATGTAATACCTACCATAAGTAAGAACCGACTGATGGGGATGTTCCTCTGTATATATATTTCTCATTGGTTAATGAATAAAAACACTGATTGGCTGACTGGTCAGATAGGAAGTGGCATAGCTGAGCAGAAACTGCCACTTGCTAACTATAGAGGTCTAGAGGTCTGTACAGACAGGCAAGAAGTGATGTGTAGCTGAGAAACATCAGGACATAAGCAGGGACAAACAAGAAATCTCTCTCTTCTCTGTGGAGACGCTGAGCAGTCACCATGTAGGCTGCTGGAGGAGCAACATCATGCTGAGCATAACCAGGTAAGCCACAGCCTTGTGGCAACACACAGATTAATAGAAATGGGTTAGTAATTAAGACAGAGCTAGCCAATAAGAAACACTAGCCAACCGGCCAACAGCTTTATAACTTGTATAGCGCCCATGAGTTCATTTGGGGCTGATGTGGTGGCGGGGCCCTGCCAGGCTGGAAAACATTCACATTACAACCAACAAAAGCGTGCACTGAATATATGACTATTATTTGGGAGATGTCCTTCCTGTTTTGGTTTTGAGTCAGGGTCTATAGTTATACAGCTCAGGGTGACCTTGAACGTGAGGTTCTCCCCAGGACTGGCATTTTAGACATACACCACCACACACAGTGAATGGTTACTTTTTATCCTCAGTAATGAGTTTACTTACAGGGAAAAATCAAGCATGTCATAAAGACGTTGACCACAGTGTGTCTGGTAATGGTGAAAGACCCTCAGTGAAGAGACCATCCAAAGACTGGACCAAGTGAGAGGCTAAGCCACAGTACTCTAATCAGAGACAGGCAGGACATGACTCTTGGTTTGAACAGCTGGCTCCTAAGCAATATATGAGCTTGCTCCTATGTCTCTCCATATGCAGCCCCCCCCCCCCGTGGAGGCAGGTGTGGTGGGTGCACCTAGCTTTAAGTGAGTGTGGTACAGTAGGGACTCTGCCCTTCCCGGGTGTGAGTTTCTTGCTTGGCTGTTTCCATGATGATTGCCACTAATGGGATTTTATTTTTGTTTGGATCGTATGATTATCAGGAGTTCTCCATGTCAGAGGAGGGCTAGGATGGTCCTAGAGATAATTTCACCGCATGCCCCCTCACTTGAATTCCCCTTCAATGGTGGGGCGGGGGTGGGGGGAGGCATTTACCGGACCAGGGTGGTAAACTGTTGTATTATTCCAGGCATCTTAGCAGCAACCCCGCAGTCCGTGTCCTGTGGAAGGGTCTGGCTGTTGAGAAAGTATGTGGTCAGGTTGGGGGGCCCACCCAGGGGACTTCCCACTCAAGCAGTGAGCCCACTGTACCTGACTGCATAGGTGACCCTGTCGAGTTCCTTTGTCTCTGCTTTCCACAGAAAGTCATCGAAGCCTTGCACTTTTTCTAGAAACAAGGCTGCAAGTGACCGAGCCTTTTCCACAGTGGCCATCTCCTGTTCTTTGCTGCGCCTGTCAATGCTGGTCAAGTCCACTGCAAACAGAAGATGCGGGGCCATGGGCATACTGGTCCCCGGAAGCTCTCCCCTCCCTCTGGGAAGGAACTCTGATGCAATGGGTGCCTCATTTGGACCATAGGTCATGAAGTGCCCAGTAGCAGAGGTCCTGGCCCCAGCCCCCAGTCCCACCCCCAGACTCACCCCAGGGACGCCCCCAGAGTGGGCAGTTGCTCCCAGGGCCAGGTGCCTGGGTATATGATGGTTCTAACTCCAGCTGTATACACATTTGCCTGTTATTGTGAATTCATAATTTGATCTCCCGAGTGATGAGGGTGTTGGGGACCAGCCAAGTACAGTGTTCACACTGCCCACACTAAGCTTTGCCCTGGGGGAGTCTAGGGTAGCCCATCTTGTTGGGGAGGCAGGTCACTGGGAGCTACCTTTTGAATCTGAAAAGATGCCACCCTGTGTGGGCAGCCCTGCCCTGCAGCCCTCCTCTCACGAGGCTCTGCCCTCCCTCCAATGTCCCTGCAATACCAGAGAGGGCCAGGTCCAGCAGTCACAGCTAGGACCATCCTATCCCCTGAAGACCGATTCTGGGACTGTCCCTCTGCTGTTTTCATCCCACAACACAAGGAAAGATCATTTGCGGGAGGCACACTCTGAACCACACAGGTTCCCTCTGTGCAGGCTACAGCTCAAATGTCACATTTGCTGGGCATTCTGGACTCCATGCGAGCAGCCCCTGCATCCTGGATTAATGACAGCCACCTGCCCCAGGCCTAATAGACAAGAATCCTATCCCTATTCCCTCCAAACAATAACAGGAGAAGTTTTCAAGTCTCCCATGGGCACTAGGTTTTGGGCATCCCTCCCAGGCTCACTTTAAACTAACCCTGGTGTCCAGGTTAGCAGCTGTCCTCTGCCCCTTATCTGAGGACATTGGCCAGAGCATGACCATGGGCAGGAAGTCAGGGTGGCAACCAGAGCATGGGGAGGAGAGGTGACCTCTGTGGGAGTTCACTGAGAGCATGATTTCCCAGGGCAGGGGAGGGAGCCAGGAAAATGGCCTTTCCTCAGGGTAACTGAGGATGCTGGAATGACTGTGTGGGTGGCATGGCCAGGAGTCAAGGCTGAGGGCCAGGAACATCTGTGGGAGCTTTGGTTGTGCCCCCACAGCCATGCTGGTGCACAGTAGGCCAGGGGTGAGGTTCCTCAGTTAATATGCAAAGACAGAACTGACCTTGGAGACACCATGAAGGTGGGTTCTTTGCCATCCTAGGAAGAAACTGGGGTTCTTGGTCATCTGGGGGACTGGCTGTAGGTGCTGCTTGGCTGAGCTCTGGTACATCTAACTGGTCACATGTTTGGCACCCAGGCTATTCCTCAGCACTCTTGATGGGGATTTTATAGGCAGGTGTCCTGAAAAGGCCATTGTCCCCCATGAATGAAGTAGTCCATGGTGTTCTTCATGAACTAATGAGTGCCTGGGACCTCAAAGAAAGGTAAGGCATAGACAAATCAAGCAGTCTATATTCAGAGACTCACTGGCCCTGCCCTAGGCCTTTCTTCCTATGCTACCTGCCTCTGGCACTCAAGGGTGTATTGTGTGTGTATTGTTTCCTGCAGACTGCATAAAGACTACAACTGTACAAACTGATCCAAGACTTCCTGGATTACGGCCGCCCAACCCACTCACCCACCCACCCATCTGCAAACTTCTACCCATTCCTAACCTGTCCTGCACAGAGGGACAACCTGTCAGAAGGTTTGATCCTGGCAAACTGACCAGTTTCCCTTTTGTTCCCGGCTCCTCCTCATCTGAGGCACGTATAAGAGCATCTCCACTACATCTTTTCCCAGTAGGGATTCTGTGTTTGTTTTGCTTTGTCCATTTGTTTCATTTTCTTTTGCTTTGCTTGGGGGAGGGGTGCCGGCAAATGGTTGTGCACCAGGTTACAGGGCCACTGGCGTTGCTCACTCACCATAGAAGTCAGCAGGGTTGCTGTAGCGGGGACAAGGGTAGCCAATTTCTGTGAAGTACTGCACCATGTGCTGCGCAGCCCCCAGGTAGATAGGCGTGCCGGATGTCATCAAAAGGACCAGGTCAAATAGCTTGAAAATGTCAGAGCGAGGCTGGTGGAGGGAGATGAGCACCAGTCTGTTACCTTTGGCCAGGCGGGACAAGGTTCTCACCAGGTTGTGGGCAGTGAAGCTATCAAGGCCGGAAGTTGGTTCATCCAGAATGAGGATTCCTGGGGACATTGCGCGGTGAGTCCGATGTCAGGCAGGATGCAGTCTCAGGCCCCCTCCCCTCAGGCTTCTGGCCCTCACCTGGGTTCCACAGAAGCTGCACCCCGATGCTCACTCTCCGGCGCTCGCCCCCAGACACCCCACGCACATATGTATTACCCACGCGGGTGTTGGCACACTGTCTCAGCCTCAGCTCCGCAATCACGTCCTCTACCTGAGAGTGACAGGCTTAGCATACAGGCTTCCAGGGGGCTGCACTTTATTTGCACACACCCCCAACCCCCGTTATGTCCTCAGGTTCTGAGCAGGTTCATCCTGCAGACCACACGTTGTGGATGGGGAACAGACTGGGTACTAAAGTGATAATTGTCGTCCCCCCCAACCACCATGATGCACCCGAAAATCCTTACACAAACAAATACACACTTATCACCCACTTGATAAGGTCCGGAAAGGGAACCCATGGGGCTAAGTACATTGGCATGTAAGGTGGGTTGGTTAGATTCCAGCTGGGCTGGGTCTTTCCTTCAAAGCAGGACACTCTCAGACACCAGGGATCACCAAACAGCCAAGCGGTTACCCTTTTGTCACGCTGGGCCTGAGAGAAGCTCCTGGGCAGGCGTATCTGGGCAATGAAAGCCAGCGTCTCTCTGACAGTCAGGTTGGGGAGCAGCTGGTCATGCTGGCGCACATGTGCCACACACTTCCTCATGAGCTGGGGTGTGCTGGGCTGCCCATTGATCCAGATTTGTCCTGATTTTATCTTGCCTCCATGGTCTCTGCCTGTGATCACGTCTAGTAGTGAGGCTCTCCCACAGCCTGCAAAGCCAGAGACATCCCTGAGGGCAGAGGCTCTGCGGGGCCAGCCTGTCAGCTACCACTCCCCACACATTCCCCAAACCCCAGGACTACAGAAGCAACCAAGCTCCAGAGAAATGGACACTGCTACTAGATTGCATGGGACAGTCCTGCCGGTGCACCTTCAAGCTTTTCTTCTATAGCCAGCTTGAGTGGGTGGGGACACAATGACAACAAGGTTTCAGACAGAAGAAGGCTGGAGTCCCAACTGCGACAAGCCTGCTGCTATGCCTGCTGCATTTATTCCCCCTCCCACTGCTAAACCAATGGCTTTCTCCCAAGCAAGGTTGGGGCTAATTATACTGAAAAAAAAAAAACCCAACAAAACAAACAAACAAACAAACAAACAAACACCCACAAAAAATCTTGGCAACATCTCATCATTCATCATTGTTTGGCTCCCAAGTGGCTTTGTGGAAATGACTAATTTGGAGCATTCATAGCTGTCTTTGAAGAACTCAGACTACAAGGTATCGTGGTGGTAGTGGCACACACCTTTAATTTCAGCAGTGGGGAGACAGAGGCCCATGGCTCTTTCAGTTGGAGGCTAGCCTTGCCTTCAGAGCAAACTCCAGGACAATCAGGGCTACACAGAGAAACCCTGCCTCAAAAGCCAAACAGAGAAAGAAACAAACAAAAATCCAAAACAACAACAAAAACCCAAACATCTACAACCTACTTTGAGGAATATAAGGGAAAAATAACAGGTAAGTAATAGATGGGACATCATTGTCAAGCATAGCCTAAGCATAAACATCCAAATGTATCTATCCATAGCCTTTTCTCATTTTAAAAATCAGCATTTTTAAAAGGAAAACTATCTTTTCATTCACTCCTGAACAATGTATTAAAGTGTATTAATTTATAGAAGAGATCATCATATCAGATCTAGTCTCCAAAAGCATTTGATTAGGCTTTCACTCCTAGGGCTAATTTCATGGTTGTTGTTTGGTGACAGGGTCTCACTGTGTAGCCCTGGTTCCTGAAACTCCCTCTGTGGACCAGGCTGGCTCAAATGGAGAGATCCACTTGCCTCTGCCTCCCAAGTGCTGGAATTAAAAGTGTGCTCACCACCACCTGATGGTCCTATAAGTATTTAAACTGTGATGTGAACACTCCTCAAGCTTAGAGAACACCCTCTTATCACTGAGCTGGAGACATTCTGGCTGGCTCTCCCAGGAAAGGCTTAGGTTTCCTCACTGTGGAGGCTTTTATGCAATCAATAGCTTCTCTTTCTTTTGTAAACAAGTCCTCTTTGACACATGCCACACGCTGCCTGCAAAAATCCAAGAACCCAGGGGTGATTGATCCTTTTGCTTAGTGTTCAGGGGCTGGGAGTGGGGGCATCTTGTCACCTGCCTGCTGGTGTGCCCCATTGAGGCTTCCTGAAAAGTTAGGATGAACAAAATATCCCCAAGAGGAACCAGAGAGAGAGGCCTCAGCCCTGTTCAGCCTCAGACATTGCCTCCAGGTTCTTCGAGGGCTGGGGCCTGTGCCAGCATTCATAGGTACCAGGGGATCCCCTGTCAGAGGGCAGGAAGGTCACACACTTCCTAAGCAAAACTGTGGCTAAAGACAGAGGCAGCCTTTCCAGCATAGGGCAAACATTCTTTGAAGAGCCTGGCACTCAAAAGCCTTATAACGTAAATGCCATTGCCTAACTAGTAACTTCGTTAACTAGAAAAATACTTCTGTATGGCTGATGCTACAGAACCAGGCAAATACTTGGAGCTAATGTTTTTTAGAATATCATAAAAATTATTATTATTGCTAGCACGCATATTCATATTCCCTATGTGTGTACTCCAAGTCACAGAAAATGTAATGAATAAATCCTCCTAACAATTTCAGCTAAGTGATTTAGAAGCCAAGCAAGGCTGAGCTTGAACCTGGACATTAGTCAATATGATTCCTGCTCAGGGATGCTGCTGGTTAGAACACCAAGTCTTCACCAGTATTCACTGTCATGACTGAGTAATGGCCCACGTGTCTCCTGGATGCACCACAAAGACAGCTACAACAAGAAAAGCCACCAGACATGACAAGTCAAACTAGCTTTTTCTTGTTTAGGTCAGAGTCACAGGGTCAGGGCCAGAGTGAGAGGGGCTGAATGAGTGTGCATGTTGTTTCAGTTACAAAGTGCATTTACACATCGTAGCCCATTTGATCTTTGGTTAGACAGTAAACAACTCTATCAGAAGAGTGTAAAAGTTTGGAACAGATGTTCAAAGTGTTGAGTAATCTTTCCTTCTGGAAATGATTAATTAAAAAGTATAAAGTACTCTCTCTAATACCGTGTAAAGGAGTACTGGGAAGAACCAAGTGCAAGATCTCTAGCTAAATTTGTGTCTCATCTGTCAAATGAACGTGTGTGTGTGTGTGTGTGTGTGTGTGTGTGTATGTGTACATGCATGAGCATGCATGTGTGTGTACATGCATATTGACACAAAGAACACTCTAGAAGTATGCAGGACTAAGTGATTTGAAAATCTTCCTAAAATGCTTCCAGACAGGAGGAAATATAATAAGGAAAATGAACTGTTCTCCAAGCCCCTCACACTTGCAAGGTTCTGTAATTTCAGATTCGACCCTGGAAAGTGACTGCCTGAGACACCTCAGGATATGGCTCTTTGCAGGTGGTTGAAGGTTATGCTGGGACTGCAGAGGGGTCAGTGGTGTCGGGGCCCTGCCGAGTCATTGTCTGGCCATGACCTCAGTCTGGCTGTGGAGGAACATCATGTTCTGAAGCTGCCTGTACATTGTCTTAGCACAGTGTTAACAGGAGGCAGACACTATGGCTGCAGCTTCAGATGGACTAAACTCACACTCAGGTTCACAACAGCAGCAACATCGGGAGTTAGTGGATGCAAGAGATGACATTTGAGCCCAGATCTATCTGACCCAGACCCTGTGTTCTCAGCCACTCGGCCACTTGCATCCTGGGGCAGGGGGTGGGGGGAGGAGAGCCATTCCCGTGATTGCCTCTATTGGTACCTGAGCTTCCTATGATGGCCAGCATCTGCCCACTCCTCACTTTGAAGCTCAGATTCTGAATGCCCAGGTCACACGAATCTCGGTTGCTATGAGACCTCCAAGGTATCTTGAACTGAGCCAGCTGCTCAAACCAAGGCACCTGAGAGGCAATGTCCACCTGTGGAGAAACGTTAGCAGGAGTTCAGCTCTCCTGTGCCTTGGGTACTTCCTCTCTCAGGAGACACCATGCCTCGAAGATGTAATAGATATTGAGGCACCCAGATCCTATCAAACATGGCAGTGAGAACCCAGGATCCCTTTCAAGTCTAGCGTTAAGGGGATCAGAAAGAATGCAGAATAGCAGAAAACAGCAAGTGTTTACTACCCTCAGTGACCGTTTTTTGCATCATTTATCCCATCTATTGTTCATTGTGAGCATATGGTGTGGGTACTAGCATCACCTGTTTCACAGACCCTGTTCAAAGCAATTAAAGAATTTACTCATGCTCACACAGTTTACAGCTCATGGCAGAGCAGAGAAAGGTTACAAAGTGGCTCATTACTTTATTCTAGCTCACACCCACAAAAGGACCAGCTTGGGACTCTGAGTTATCATCCCCCTTGGGCAGCAGGTAGTCTACTCCCAGGGAAGTGGGGGAATGGGAGTCATTGAATTCTGACAAGGGCATCCCTGAGACCCTCCCAGGGTTTCCTTTTCATTCTGGAAGCTTTATCTGCAATAGAACAACATGTTTTATAAAATAGACCATAGATAGATAGATAGATAGATAAACATAAATATAGATAGATGATAGATTACATAGATGATAGAGAGATGTAAAATAATGAAATTTCAATAAACTCTGTTGTTTAGTTAAGAGCCTATTGTTAATTTCTCAGTTTTGGTAATTACAATATAGTTTGCAAGATGCTGACTTCTAGGCAAGCCACACAGGGGGTATGTAGAAGCACTGTGTTTTGCTGTGTGTGTTTTCTGTGGGTATGTACATACACATGTGCCAATGCACCTTGCACATATGTGGAGGCCAGAGATGAGTGGTACTATCTTCCTTAATTGTTTTCTACCTTACTTTTGGCCTGGTCTTTTGATGAAGCTGGAATAATTGAATGAGATCTGTGGACCCACCTGGTGCTGGGGCTGCAGACATATACCACCCAGGCCAGATTTTCTTATGTGTGTTCTGGATAGTTGAGCTCAGGCCCTCATGCATGTGCCTCATCAACTTTACTGAGAGGGCCATTACCCAGTCCCTTTGATATCTATCTGTCCGTCCATCCATCCATCCATCTATCCATCATCCATCCATCCATCTATCCATCATCCATCCATCCATCCATTCATCCTTTCTTGCTTCCTTCCATCCACCCATTTATCTATGCATTCATCCATCTACCTATCTGTGTATCTATCATCTATCTACCTACCTACCTACCTACCTATCTATCCATCTTATCTATCTACCATCCACCTGTCTATGTGTCTATATATCTATCTATCTACTTATCTATAAAATGTTTACATATATATACATATACAGGGTATACATATATACATATGTATACATATACAGGGTGGGATCTCTCTTCCTCTCCCTGAACATTCTGTTTGCTGCCCACTTTTCTCCTCTCAACTCAGGCATGTGCCCTTACCTGGTAGGTGAGATCTCTGACCTCCAGAGTGTTAGACTGGCCACTGTAGGTGAAGTACAGGCTGTTGTCACTTTCAGAGGAGAACAAGATGTCCTGGAGGCCCTGCTGGGAGACATGACAGGTGAGGGCCCCGCTTCAGAGGTAGCTGAGGACATAGAAGACAGAGGAGGGGATCTGAGAGGCACAGGCAGCAACTGGCAATGGGGTGGAGATCCCACACTGACATGAGTTAGGATCATGCATGTGGCACCTCATGACTCTGAGAACAATGAGAACATTGATGGGGGTGTGTCAAGTTTCAGGAGGCCCCGGGCTTCTTCGACAGCTGCAGCCTCAGAGACCCTCAGCCTCGGGCTGGCACATCTGAATCCACACAGTTTAAGGCGAATGCCACTCCAGACACCAATGGGAATACCAGTGAGCTGGGAGCCAGTAAGCTCATGTTTGACTTTCATTTCCCGGACCTGGCCTAATACCTACTGCCAAATAGATACGCCTTGAGAAAGAGATAGACAACAGTGAGTTGTCCCTGATTGTCTGTGAAGGTGTCACCCATCTTATGTTGACAAGGGATTTTGTGACACAAAGCCCTTGAATATCCTTTGGGTTACATTTCAGAGGAAGTCCCTACTGTCTGCGATCATCACCACAATGACTGTGCTGTGTTATTGTTGGGGTGGCGGTCTATTTGAATTTTCTGTGTGGTCATTTGATACATGAACTCAATGGGTAATGGATGGTCAGGTGGGCGCTCAGCACCTCCATCCCCTCTACCATGTATCATTTGTTTGTGTTGGAAACCATAAAAATTTTCTCTTTGGTCATCTGTTTTGAAGTTAATTTTTTTAAATTTTATTTTGTGTGTGAGAGTATTTGCCTTTGTGCATATATGTGCACCACATATGTGCCTGGTACCCTCAGAGGTCAAAAGAGGCTATTGAGTCCTCTGGACCTGGAGTTATGGATGCTTATGAACCATTCTGTGTGTGATGCGACACAAATCCTGGTACTCTGCAAGAACAGCAAGTGTTCTTAACATTTGACCCACCTCTTCAGCCCCATTCTCTGATCTTTATTTTAATATATATTATAATATATAATTTAATATATATGTAATAATATATATTAAAAATATATATATACACACACAGCACTGTGGTTCAGAACACTACAACTTAGACTCCCATCTCATTTTAATGACTAATATCTGATCACCCACCATTCCCTCACCTGCCCCTTTCAGCACTAGTAATACAATTACGCTCTCTGCAATAGGGCTACAGTGGTTTTTCTGTGTTAGGTAAGTAAATCCATGGCCTCAGGCATACAAGGCCATATAGCAACAGGGCCACTTCCCCAGTCCCTAGGTTTTTCTTGTTTTTAAATCAATTATCTTCAAGAGAGGTCTTAGTTGATTTACATCAGATAGGAATTAGCTCTTTAGATGCTTCTGCAGACGCAAAGGTTTCCGTTGGGTTCAGGGTGGAGGGACCGCTGAGGGAGGAGCGCTAGATACTTTGTGTGTTGGTGGTAAGCTCTCAAGTTACTGTGCTACTGGGACTCGAGAGGCATGGAGATCCTGGGGTTTAAATGGACGTACAGGACAGAACCGAAGACGGGGAGGACTGCGGGCTGTGGCTGAGCAGTGCCCAGCTCATACTCTGGTTCACTCAAGCCCATGTACCCCAGCCATCATGGAGAGATTGGCTTTCCAGGGGCCACAGAGAGAACTCAGCTTCCGGGGTGGGGTGGCGGGGATCGTGTCTGGCTTGTGGATGACTTCACTTCCATTTTAAAATATTTTCCTTGGCACCCAGATTCTCCCTGAGGTTTTGACAAATGCTCTGTGTTTTTCAAATACTCAAATATCTATTCAGCTGACACTTTAATCAGTATGACTGTCAGAACATCATGTGAATGTGTGACAGGTAACACCCAAAAAAGCGAAAACGGGTTTTTATTTGTGGGTTACCAGCTCTGCTCCTTCAGGGCTAGTGTAATGCCTCCTCACATTAACTTCTGGTTAGATTTCTGAGTCAGAACCACAGCCAGGTGGGGAAACTCAGAGCACAAAAAGGGAGAAATGTGCAGAGGATCAAGGCTGGCAGGGACGAGAAGGGAAGTCTCTGACCCAAGGCACATGCCTGGCCCTCTGCTGACACCTTCAGACACAACCTCACCTGTCTTTGCTGAGGCCCAGGCTTTCCTGTCCCTATTCCTGAGGACCGCCTGATACTCCATGCCAGCAGTCCCTGCATAGGCAGCCCTGATCTCATCCATTCTCACGGGTCACCTTTCTGAGTGTGGGCAGGTGCCGCTGAAGGGGCATGCTCAGAGGCGAGATGAGCAACTGTCTGGAGGAGGCCTGCCTAGAATGTGGGTGGAAAAAGTGTGTGGCCCCTGGATGGGTCCCTTGTAGAGTGAGATGCTGCGTGGGCAGAAAAGGGTATGGCCTGGACCAGAAGCCAGCTCCTCAAGAAGCCCTGAGCTTTCTAACTTTACTTGCAGAAGTGAGAGTGTGGAAACCACTGAGCAGTTATTAGCTTGACTGAACAGCTTTTAAGCATGGCGCCACAGGGCATGACAGTCTCGTTGTTTTTATCCAAGCCCCCATGGTTGTCAGTGGCAGGCCACCACAGGGCACCTATAAAAACAGGACCCGAAAAGGAGGGACTAGGAAGTGGCAGGTACACTTGTGGAGACAGGATTGGGACCATTCTTTAGCTGAGGTGGTAACCTTAGGGGCAAAAAAACTCCAAAGCCGCCACTGACTTCATATCCTGTTCGGGAAGTCAGCGTCGGCATTTCCAGGGACAGAGGTAGTTATTTTCTCATTGGTATCTGCCTCAAGGGGAATTCAGACAACAGAGTTGGCTGCTGCTGTGGCAGTTGAACTGGCTAGATAGTAGTGCCTGTTTTGGCCAAGCCCAGGCAACTCTACCTTGGCCAGAGCAGGGGACTATGGCCTCCCTGTCGGATGTGGACATTTCCTTCTTGTCTTTCTCTCTAGAAAAGTGGGCGGGGTATGAAAGCTGTGGGTGGGGAAATCTTCGCTATCTTTTAATATTGCTTTCTGCTTGAAGGCCTGCCTATGGCCGCACTCAGAGGCCATTTATCAAGCAAACATTTCTCTGGTGTGATGAGAAAGGAAACCTTGGACCTCCGCTTCCTAGCCACCTGACTGCTGTCTGTTCACTTCAGATGTCTCCCAGTTCGTAAGACTGCAAGAGTAGAATTCTGACGCTCCCGTTAAAGCCATTTGCTACCCTATCACTTCTGTGTCTCGACTACCACTGAGATTTTTGTTCTGATAGCCCCATGGGCTAACACTCTATCAGAAAAGCCCTAGATTTTCTGTGTGGGGGAGTTTTTGTGACGGAATGTCATTTTTGGAAACCCACATCAATTCCAGTCATCCACAAGAACATCGGGGAAGTGACCTCAGAGGTCTCCTGGCTCCTGAACCTGCTCCCATCAGCCCCTCAACATTGAGGAGGCAGGGCCCTGCTACCCCATTTCCACTCTACTTGAGAACTAAAACTCCTGAGGTAGGGAAGAAAGGCCAGTTCTGCTCTGCGCCCACACCAGCACCAAGTGTACTCACCGAAGCATCCTGAAGTATAGCCCCATTCCACAGTCGGGTCTCCTCTGTGGTCTTCTCAGTCATGACCCTTGACATCTGTCCCTCTGTGTGGCTCTGTGGGCTTCACTGCTACTGGCCAGGCCCGTGCTCTCTCTGCCTTTGTTCCTTAGAGCCGAGCCACCTGAGCCCTCCTTCTCTGTGCCAACCTCTCTCCCAGCATTCCTCTCTGGCAAGCCCTCCTACAAACACACTGTGTGTTCTGCCTATTGCCGAGATAAGGACACCCTGGCTAAAGGTACATCAGATAATGGCATTGGTGGCCAAGTCGGTGTCCTGCTGTCTCACAGGGGACTCCGGGGCTGGGCAAAATCAGACTGGGCACTCCCACTGGGTCCTCAGTTGAAGCCACTCTGGAGAGGGACAGGCCACTAGAAAATTGACTTGCCTTTGTTTCCTGCTGGCCATGAGTGAAATGCCCTTTCTGAGTCCAGAAGGGGCTGGAGGGCCTCACATCAACAGAAGTTCTCAGAGCTCCCTGGAGGAGGGATCTATTACTGGCTCGGAGGCTCGGCACAGCCTGGGTGTCCTCCATATCTCCTTCAGTGTCAGGTAAGGCTATCCCACAGCAGGAAGCTAAGCTTCCCACCATCTCTGCTGCCTTTTTCTACCAGTGGGTGGGTGGACCTGGGGGCTTGGGCCACCTGTTTAGCAGATCAGGGTGTAAGTAGGCAAGGCTGTCATCAGGCAATGCGCAACAGTGAATAGCTAGCTCCTCCCCTGCCCGTTTGCGTTGTACCAATTTCTTCTACCCACACCCCTCCCTTGGCTTGCCTACTACCTGCCCTGTGGATGGAGATGGCTTGGAAAGTGGGGGTGCTGGAAACACAAGGCAGAATGAAGCCTGCTGAAGGAAAGCAAGATTCACCTCAAGAATAAGCACTGTGCGTGTTACTGTCCCACAGGCAGACAGAGAGACCCAGCTATTGTGAGGCATGTTCCTTGGGTGGTGGTCAACCGGTAGTCACTACACCTCCAAGGGCATAGGAACTGAATAAAGTTGCTAAACTGTCCAGGAGCAGCTGGGATGCTGGGATGGGCTAGAGGTGGGTTCTGGGCTGGGAAGCAGGGGTCTGGCTCCTCCTAGGACCCTACACTGCTCTTGTCCCTGTGGGATTTCCTTTAAAGCAACCGTGTCGGACCCTGGTGGAACATCAAATCCTTCAAGCAGAGGTGGGACAGGCAAATTCTCAAAGATGTCTCCCTGTACATCGAGAGTGGACAGATAATGTGCATCCTAGGCAGCTCAGGTAAGCACTTCCGAGGAGGACTCTGCCAAGGCTTCGGCTTGGTTTAATCACCTTGTAGAGGAAGGGAGTTTAAGTTTGTAGAGAGAGGGCCATGCATTTGGCTTTGGAATGAATTCTATTGGCATGTCTGCAAATGGGACCTGGTACCAAAGTGAAGCCTTGAGAAAAGTCCCTGGGAGGAGTGGAAAGTCCTGCCTAATATGTAGGAGGTTTATTTGCTTGTTTGATTGATTGTTCGTGGTGCTGGGATAGAATCCAGAGCCTGGAGCGTGCTAAGTACGCCACCAAGCTACAGCCCAGGCTCTATTTTCAGTCGTATTTCCACTTTCTGGAAAGTTCTTGTCAAGGTGTTCAGCATCAGCTTGTAAATTTAACTCCTATTCCTGATGCCACTGGTCTTTTTCATAATGATGGTCATCTGACACACAATAGAGCCAGAGAATACTAAACAAGGATTCAGGTTCACATCATGTCTTATCACTACACTACGGTTTCTTGGTTTTTTGTTTTGTTTTGTGTGTGTTCTGACTGTACTCCTATGCCTTTCTCTTCTTTCCAGGGGAGATTTAATAACTGAACACAACTTCCATGTTTATTTTTGTGTTTTGCATCAACAAATCATTCTTCTCCTCTCCTGTCCCTACAAAGCCTATAGCTGTAAATCTTCAATTTCCAGACCCTGGGGAGGGGGTACACTGATCCAGAGGAGGGACTTTGGGTGGCATACTTCAGTGTTCACAACAAGGGGTTATCCTTCATGCATTAATTTAAAGATTCTGACATGTTAGATTCACAAACCCCTCTTGATTGAGCAGCTGCTTGTATATTATTGGCATTTAACCCACTGTCTGCTCACCTTGCTCTTTTCTAGAAATAGACCATGTTAAGTCGGCGAGAGTCAGGCGTGGCACTGAGTGTGTCTCCCAATGCTTGTCCTCCACTGTGGAAATGACGACAGGCCTGGTAGCTAGGCCATGGAGGTGGAACCCTCTGAATGATTGATGAAGTTCTCGAAATGCCTATATTAGCTCTCACCAGACAAAGCGAATGTAAAGAACGCCTGAAGCCTGAGCCCCTCACTTCCTGGCTCATCATGCAATTGTTCACTCTCACATGTGGTCCCACACAGTGCCGTTTACTATGTGGTGTAGCCAGAAGTCTGTCCCTGGGGCTGAACACATGAGGCTATCCTGTTTACAACTTTTACAACTCTAAGTCTCCAAGACTTGTGGGTACACACACACACACACACACACACACATACACACACACATGCGCGCACACACGCACATACACACGTGCACACGCAATACACACATGCACACACACATACACGTGCGCATGCACACACACATACACACATGCGCACACACGCACATACACACATGTGCGCACGCACGCGCATGCTCACACACACACACACACAAACATACACTTTTGCATATCACTCAGCCTCAGGCATTTTCCTACAGCAATACAAAATGGATTAAGCTTTCAAGCCTCAAACTGAATCCATGAACATTCATACAAGCAGAGTTGTACGGCAATAGATTAAGATGAAATGAATAATATGAAGAAGATTAGGGGAAAATTCACTTAATTCACTGACTGTCTTAGTCTAATTGGGTTATTGTAAGAAAATATCATATACTGGGCCAAGCAGTAATGGTGCAGGTGGATCTCTGTGAGTTCAAGGCCTACAGAGTGAGTTTTAGGATAACCACACAGAGAAACCCTGTCTTGAAAAAAAAAATACTGGGTGACTTATGAGCAAGAGTTATATTCTTCACACTTCAAGAGGCTGACACCCAAGGGCCTGACAGATCTGATAAGTGGTGAGGGCTGTGGTATTTGTCACTGTGGACAAAACACCCATTACAAATGATTTAAATGAGGGATTTATTTTAGTTCATGGATTCTGAGGGTTCCTTCCATCGTGGTGAGAGTCATGGTAGAACAGCTTATATAATGATGGGACAGGAAACAGAGAGGGATGACGGAAGGGACAGGGACAAGATATACCCAAGAAGCACCTCCAGTGACTTACTTCTTCCAGCCAGTCTCCACCTTCCAAAGTTTCCAGAACCTCCCCCAGAGCACTGCAACTGTGGTTATAAGAGCCTGGGAGGATGGCATTTGTATTCAAGCCACAACAGCTGGCCTCTTCATAAGCAATTGACTTCTTCACAATGAAAGAATTGTGAGATCTCTCCCAAGGCTTTTACATTTTAATGAGTTAATTAAATTACTCTGTGTGTGTGTGTGTGTGTGTGTGTGTGTGTGTGTGTGTGTGCACGTGCATGTGTGCACACAGGTGCATGTGTTTGTGAAGGCCAGAAAACAACCTCAGGTGTTCTGGCCGGAAACTTGCTATGTAGACCAGGCTGCTCTCAAACTGACAGAGACCTGCCTGCCTCTGCCTCTCGAGTGCTGGATTTAAAATTATGCACTACCACACTTGGCTCACCATATTGTTTTCTGTGACAAGGTCTCTCAGTTTTATCTGCAACTTACTGATGCATGGAGGCTGCGTGGCAAGCCATCGAGCCCCAGGGATCCTCATGTTCCCATCTCTCTAGCCATGAGGATGTGTCTTCTCAGCCTTCCTAATACCACTTCAGTCACCCGGAGGCTGTGTGCAACTAAGAATCTATCTATCTCCAGAGTGGCATCCTTTTACATTTCTCAGTGACTTAGTGCTTAATGTTGTTTGGTGAGGACTGGAGAGAAGAGAAAGCCAGGGAGAACCCCAAGGGTCTCTGTGTGAAGCCGAGAAACAGCAGACTTGCTAGTGGCTGTAAAGAGCTTCAGTGACAGAGACAAAGAACAGCAGCAGCAGCAGCAAACACCACAGACAGGCCAGGCACTGCACAAGAGGTTTTTAAGGCTCTGGTTAGAGAAACCACACAGGAAGGGCAGGGATCATGTCTGGGAAGTCAGGACACTGATTTATGTGGGTCACTCTTCCTCCCCCTCCTCTTCCTCCTCTGCGCTCGAGTACGTGCGCACGCATGCACGCGCTTGTGTGTGTGTGTGTGTGTGTGTGTGTGTGTGTGTGTGTGTGTGTGCGCGCGCGCATGCGTGGTACAGGAGACTGAATCAAGTGCTATACAACTGAGCCATTCCCCTAGCCCACGTTTCTTTTTTTTTTTTTTCTTTTAATACAAGAAAATGTTTTTATTCCTACCCGTTAGACAGTTTACAAATACCATGACTGTGATAACAAGGCTTTGCAACTATTGAAGCTGTTGAGTGAACACCCATAAATACAGGTGGGGAGACACAACCGATAAGTGTTTCCACATGAACTATTCTTTTAATGTCACGAAAAAAAGTTGCAAATAGACTACACAATAGGTGTGGGCAGAAAGGCGACTGAGTGCCTCTCATGAACGCTGTATAATAAACAGCATATTATCAACATTTACAGGAAGGAGTTTACATCAAAGTGATGACATCCAAAAGCCTGTTCCTTTAAAAGGATATGATTGTTCTGTTTTCTATCCCATTCTACCTGAACATATGTGCTAACCCCAAGTTTGGTCAGAGGTGGTTTAGGACAGATGGTGACTGTCATAGAAACTTATCTTTGGACATCTCACGGTAAAAGTAGCTTCCACAAAGCTCTTGAACAGACGATCTTGTATCCTTGAGCCTGGCAGAATGCTCTTGCTCTCTTGGATGATCCACAGCCTCCCTCCTGTACTCTTGTGAGTCTGTTCAACAGCCTTGGGTATGAAAGGCTAGGAAAAGTCTGTCCTATTTCCAGGGGTTCTGGGACCCGGGCTAATTTATGTGTGATGTGACCTTGAAAAAAGAAAACAGGGGGAATGCGTTCCTCTGTTGCCTCAAGCATCAGGCTAGAACTCTGCAGGGATGTTTTTAGTAGCAACTGGCTAGCTATGGCCAAGGCTCTTGGTGTAGGCTATGGTCAATTTGCTTTCCCCAAAGGCCTCTATGGGGGCTTGTTGAAAAGCAGGGCCACAGGTCAGAAGGCTCTGGCAATGTCATCTAGATTCAGGTATCGCTTGCCAATCCTAAGGAATCACTAAAAGGAATTTAGGTATCAGGCACCAAAGGCTTGCAATAGCCCTCCCTGGCTTTCTTATTCCGAAACCTGTTTTCTTCTTCTTCTCCTTCTTCTTCTTCTCCTTCTTCTTCTTCTTCTTCTTCTTCTTCTCCTTCTTTTTCTTCTTCTTCTTCGTCCTCCTCCTCCCCGTCCTCCTCTTTCTCCTCCTCCTCCCTGTCCTCCTTCTCCTTCATGGTCATCATTGTTCTCCTCCTCCTCTGTTTTTTCGACACACGCTTTTGTCTGTGTAGCCCTGGCTGTCCTGGAATTCACTCTGTAGACCAGGCTGTCCTGGAACTCACAGAGATCCACCAGGGATTAAAGGCGTGTGCTACAATGGCCTAGCTTAACTGGCTTAATCACCTCCCCCAACCTGTATTTTTCTCACCATGAATTTTTTCACTACATTTATTGATGCATGTGTGTATATGTATGGGTGAATGCATGCCATGGATGGCATGTATGTGGAAGTCAGAGGAAAACTTTTGGCAATTCTTCCTCACGTTCCACCATGTAGCTCTGTGACTGAACTCAGGTCATCGGGCTTGGCTACAAGTCCCTTTATTGGCTAAGCCATCTTATATAAAATACAAGACATCTCCAGACCCAGATTTCAGTCCTACCAAGGACAAGAGAGCTACTTTCTTGTCATCAAATCCAGAAGACACTTCTACATGGTGTTTGGCCTCTGTTGCTAGGCTTGCCGCCCCTCCCCCAACACACACACACACACACACACACACACACACACACACACACACACACACACACACACATTCAGGGGACAAACGTAAGAGATTTATTCAGACCCTGGGATTTTCCACCCAGGGCACCATGGAGAAGCAGAGTCAGGGTTCCACTGAGGCATAAAGGGTCTGAAGAAGTGTCCCCATTCTCATGCAGAGGCTCCTTCTTTTGTTGCCCCCAGGCTCAGGGAAAACCACGCTGCTAGATGCCATCTCTGGGAGGCTGCGACGCACGGGGATCCTGGAAGGGGAGGTTTTTGTGAACGGCCGTGCACTGCACAGGGACCAGTTCCAAGACTGCTTCTCCTACGTCCTGCAGGTGAGTGGGTTCCAGTTCTGTCCCATCCTGGCCCCTTACCCCAACCCCGATCCTGGGACTCCGATGACCCTAATGTCCCCTTTCCTGCAGAGCGACGTCTTTCTGAGTAGTCTCACGGTGCGCGAGACACTGCGCTACACGGCGATGCTGGCCCTCCGCCGTTGCTCTTCTGACTTCTATGACAAGAAGGTACTTAAAACTAAAGTGAAGGTCACTCACTTCCCAGGAGACAAGGCTGCTGTGCCTCAGAAGCCCCTCCTCCTGCCACCTCCTGGCCCGCCCATTTTCATCTTTGCTTATTCTGCTCCACCCCCGCCTCCTAAATGGCAGCTACATGCGTTGTTTGAACACCTGAAATGTCCAACCTAAGCCTGGTTTGTTATGATGCCCCGGTCTTGTCCTTCCATCAGGTCGCTTCAGCGGATGGAATTCAGGTGGACGTAGACAGGCATGGTAGCAAGTGTCCTTACCCACCGAGTCATCTCATCTTGAAAGGGCCTCATGCAAAGTAGACTAAGTTTCTTCCATGAGGCTATCTATCACTCTTTCTAGGTTCCAGTATGTTTGCTAAATGTATCCAGGTTGGGAGTAGCTGTAGATAAACCCACTTTGGCTTTAGTTGGAAATATTGTTTAGTTCTGTCTGGACTGTAAAGATCTGGGAGTGTGGTCCAGTCCCCCATACCTCCAGGGGATAACAACAGGTAGGGGTATCACCTGCAAAAGGCACAGCTTCCCCGAATCAGGCTTGTTACCACATCCCGAGAGAGCAAGCTGATTTGAGAATCCTGGACAGCTTTCTAACTCTAGAGAAACACACTGCTTTCAGAGTGATCCCTCATCTGTCTTTTCCCCTAAGGCTATTTATTACATGGGTTCTGTTTTTCTAGGTTTCTCTCTGGTCTCACCTCCAGCTGGCATTCTACAGACTTGTTCAAATACAATATCTCACTTCTGTCTGTATCAGCCCGGGGGCAGGTGGGAGGGGGCTGCCTTTATCGTCATCCTGATGCTGATGTCTACTAACTCCATACTTCCTGAGATATTCCGTAGTCTGAAAAAGACACCTATATTCTTCTGGGAGATAGGTGTGCAGAAACATGTTCCCAAGGTTTGGTGGTCTAACCAAGTGGAGGAAGAAACAAGCCACACAGCCCAGCCACACCACCCCCATCCCTCCCTCTCTGCTTGCTTTAGTATTTTCTTTTTATTCATCTATTTATTTTACATCCTGGACACAGCCTCTCCCCCATCCCACCTCTCACCTCTTACTCCCCTGCTCTTCAGTTTCCATTCATCAAAGGGCAGGTCTCCTATTGCTTTAGTATTTTAAAAAATCTAACACACACACACACACACACACACACACACACACACACACGCACACACACACACACACATTGAGAGACAGCCGGAGAGATGGCTCTGTGGCTAACTGGTTCTCTTCCAGAGAACAGGGGCTTGATCACAGCACCCACATGTCAAACAAAGCTAAGTTCTAGGACACTTCAATCTGATTTCAAGAGAAGACTCCAGACCCAGATCATACTGGCTTATGGATACATCTTTGCCTCATTTCCCTTTTGCAACTTCTGTGAGCCAGGGCTCCATTTATGCTAACGACTATCTCCTCCCCTCTGGATCTCCTCTCCAAAAGTCATCCCCTCTTTTCCTGCAGTCGTTTTGTGGTTATTTTTCAAAGCAATGTTCTGGGTTCTTTCTTTCCTTTTTTCATTTTGAAAGGGGCACAATCTCATTAAAGGTGGCTGGGAACAAATTCTCCACTATATTATTTCAGCCTCCTCTCTCCTACCCCCCCCCCCAGGGTTTCCTACAGACCAGGGGACCAAGGAAGGGGAAACATGGAAGCAGAGATTTTCCAAAGGTCTCTGGGGGCTGCAATAAGCCGAGGAAGGAAAGAGGGAGAAAGGTCAGCCCTCGGAGAAAGTCAATAAGGATTGCTTTTAAATGTTATTGGTGTGGAAAGCTGAGATTAAGGCTTGAGGGGCAGAAGGAGCTGCAGGGTGCAAGCAGAGTGAAGAGGGTTGGTGAGGGAACTGGGAGCATGGATGTGGAGCTGTGGATTACATGTTAGGTACCCTTTGAAGTTCCTCCAAGAGATTTGAGTAAAGATCGGAATGGCTTTTAATTACTTTTGGAAGCTGGATTATATTACTTTGATGTAAAACCAAATCGTGATTGGTCACTCGAAACTCCAGGACTTACTGGAGTTGACAAAAGAGAACGGGGGGGGGGGGGGGGGGGGAAGGGGCACTTCAAACCAAATAGGTTTTTTTTTTGTTTTGTTTTGTTTTTCAGCACAGAAAATATTTATGATAATAAAATTTCAAAGCCCAAACACTTAACATAATCTATATTATAATTATGCCTTTGGGGTATTTTTCTGATGCAAGAATAAACATTTTGTTGCTTTGGGAACTTAAAAATATTTACTTAAACCTGACCTATGTATTTTACATTAAACCAAGGTGTATTTTACTGTAACGGACCTTTCTCCCTGGGGTATGATGAGTCTGAAATTGTCCCTTGCACCCTATGGAAGTGTTATTTCTCCTGGGCCATCGCTTGCCCATAAACTTAAGAATCAGCAGCCATAGTTACAGGTGACATCCCTGGAGTTTTATGTCTCTTACAGGTAGAGGCGGTCATGGAAGAGCTAAGTCTGAGTCACGTGGCAGACCGAATGATTGGCAATTGTAATTTTGGTGGGATTTCCAGTGGCGAGAGGCGCCGAGTCTCCATTGCAGCCCAACTCCTTCAGGACCCTAGTAAGTGGGACACAGACCACAGACCAGATGCCACCAGGGTGTCCTCCATGTGCTCAAGGTGCCTCTATATCTTTTAGGTGTTTGAGGCTCATAGTCCCCAGTGAGAAATGGTTTGTGTAGGATTGAAATCTCTGCAGTTTCCCAAACCAGAGACCCCAATTTTGGGAAATGCTATGCAGTTCATTTCCTGATGAGAGGGAGTCTCTAAGCTGGGGAGATAGTCCTCAACTTATCAAAGTTGAACCTCACGGTGAAGCGAAAGTGATACACACTCAACACAGCACTTTGAATTTGATCTTTTCTCAGAACAATGAGAAATGGTAACACCTTCTCTCATGACGCTGGGCGGCAGCGGTGAGCCATACTCCTGGTTGACCAAGAGGGGAAACGACTGTGCACTGTGTTATCAAACTACGGTGCTCAGTGGGTTAGGTGTATTAAATGCATCTTCAGCTTATAGCATGATTTCACTTACACAGGGGGGACGCTGGGCTACTATGACAAGGACCATTGCACTGGGCCTCTCCTAAGTGTATCCCGTTTGTGAATCTGTGTGCCAGAACCATCCATGACTATGAGGCCGGCCCTATCCACCTTAACTTATGAGGGCAGATCCATATTGTCCTGTAGGGAAGGGCAGTGAGTTCTGGTATGACTAGAAGTGTTTATGAGTTGACACAGCGTGTACGCCATGGGGAAGGGGCTATCAACGTGAGGTAGCCAGGTCCCTGCCTCCTTCTACCTCATTTAGTCATTCTCCCAACTTGACCACATATATGTACGTACCTAGGAGAGGGCATTTTGCACCTGGAGTCTTTCTTCACCACATGGTAGAACAAGCCTGCCTCTTCTAATGATGCTGGGTCACGAAATGCTTAGTGGTGAGTGCCCATGTCACTAAGCTCCAGAACCTGACCAATGCCTTCCCATCCACCCTCCACCCCAGACCTTGCTTCAGTCTTCTGCTGGGCAAAGATCCCATTAGTCCTGGAAAGTGCACTCAGTAGCTTCCCCAAAGGTTGCCTGCTGGCCCCAGACTCTGCCAGCATCCCCTACATGGAGCCCAGGGTACAAAGGGGCCTGATCTGGTCACTCTCCTGTCTCCAGGTGTGCTCCAAAGCTGAGAGCTGGGCCCTCCCAGGTCAGGTTCTAGCTCCTGGGCTCAGGCTGAAAGCCAGTTTCTGTGCAGCTATTTCTCATTTTGCAGTTTGGATGGACTGATCAGAATACTGACTTTTAAGCACAGAGCATGCTGGGCAGTGGTTCAGACATCTGACCCTTCTTTGCCGGCAGAGGTCATGATGTTTGATGAGCCGACCACAGGACTGGACTGCATGACTGCAAATCAGATTGTCATACTCTTAGCAGAGCTGGCTCGAAGGGACCGCATTGTGATCGTCACCATCCACCAGCCTCGTTCTGAGCTCTTCCAAGTAAGGGGATGCTATTTCTCATACTATTCAGCTCAAAAGAAGGGTATGGTGTCTTTAACCAGGAATGTCAGGGCAGGGTGAGGAGGACACAACAGTGATTAAAAGGGCAAGGGCCCCGATTTACTCTGTACCTAATGCATGACAAGCCTCTTCTACACACTAGCTCATTGGGCCCATCATTTAGTCCATGAGGCAAACCTGGGATCAGGCATCCACATACACACTTGACAGATGAAAAGAGTATATTGATGTTTAATAAGAATCAGGAGAAACAAATAGGCCGAATAGATGTTTATTCAGGGAGAAATACCTCAACAACACATAGACAGATGAACACCAGCAGGTTCCTGATCCCAAGGATGCCTCCGGAAGTGCTCCTGTCCCCGTGCTCTCCAAGCCCCCTCCTCAGCCTTAATTCCCCCAGGTCACATCCGGCCCTGTCTCCACCCCCTATGGACGTGGTCAATGCCACAGGTGCGGACAAGGTGAATATCTCACTGCAAGAGTATAATTTAGAAATGACTCAAAATGGAGCCAATATCACACAGTTGGTAAAATGCTGTTGATGGCAGCTTGAGAGAGATGGCTGAGTTGGTAATGTGCTTGCTGTATGAGGCTCTATGAGTTCGGATCTCCCATGCCCATAAAAGCTGGGCAGAGAGGCACACACCTGTAATCACATTGCTAGGGAGGCAGAAACAAGAGAGTCTTTGGGGGTTGCTGGCTAGCTGAATCCATAAATGCCAGGTTCAGTGAGAGACGCTGTCTCAAAAGTGAGGTGGAGAACAATTGAGGAACACACACACACACGCACAAACACACACACATGCACACACGCACATGCACGTGCACACACACACACACACACACACACGCACACACACACAGAGGAAGGTGGGGAGGGAGAGAGAGAGAGAGAGAGACCTGGCAGTGTGGCATCATGGCCCACTTAGCTACTGAAGCTCCATTTTGTCACAAAAAATCATAATTTTATTATTCAAAAAGAAACTTTGATCCCCCAGTTATCCTTTTAGTTATCCATTATTTGCTTTTTTTTTAATAGCTGAGGATCTAATATTTTAATCACAACCAACACACACAACACCCCAGGTTGCTCAAGGTCACTCTTAATGGTTTTTCTCTGCTGGAATGTGATGCTGGGGCCCAGCACCATACAGCAATACCCATGATACACAGAGGTATCCCAGGCTGGGAGGCAGAGGGTGTCCTCCCTTATCTCCAATGGACACCCCATGCATGCATACACAAATACTGATGCATGGCTTAGGTAACAGAGGATTAACTGGCTGCTTGGAAATGCATTTCCCATGAGGACATGGTTACCTGAGCACACACTAACACCATCTCGTGTCCAATCAGCACTTCGACAAAATTGCCATCCTGACTTATGGAGAGTTGGTGTTCTGTGGCACGCCGGAGGAAATGCTCGGGTTCTTCAACAACTGCGGTTACCCTTGTCCTGAACATTCCAACCCCTTTGACTTCTACAGTAAGTGCTTTTCGGTTTCGTTTTTTAATGTTCACCACCGTGGCTGTTTAAAAATTTCTTTAAAGTTTTTATTGTTTATGTGTATCTGTGTGTGCACGTGCACTATGGTCTATATGCAGATGGCCCTGTAGAAGTCAGGTCTCTTCTACCACGGGGCTCTTAGGGACCAAAGTCAAGTCATTAGGCTTGGTGGCAAGCACCTTTATCTGCTGAACCATCTCGCCAGCCCTACATCTTCCTTACCTTTGATTTCTGTGATACTGGCTCTTCCAGGTTTTTGTTCTTGTTGTTTCTGGTTTTGCTGTTTTGTTTGTTTCTTTGTTTTGTTGTTCTTTCATTTTTCAAGGAGTAAATTTGTCAAGTCGATTAACTTGCCCCCTGTGACTTAGCAGAGAATAAAATGGGGCTTCTCTCTCAGACACTGTCTGAGTTGAATTTCTGAATTCTCTCAAGCAGTTGCTATGGGATTATCATGGCCTCTCTGCATAGCTGTAGACACCCTAATGCACCAGAAGGATACTCAGATAGGAGTGTCTCTGCTGGGGTATGGATGAACAATGGATGAGTCGGGGATTACGATCCATTTTGTGAGTGTATGCACATGCCTGTGTGTGTGCATGTAGTGTGTGAGAGAGTGTGTGTGTGTGTGTGGTATGTGTGAGTGTGTGTATTTGTGCATGCATGTATATGTATGGTGTGTGTGTGTGCATGTGGTGTGTGTGAATGTGCATGTGTGGTATATGTGGGTGCGCACGTATGTATGAACACATATGTTTGGTGTGTGCGTGGGTGTATGTGTGTGGTGCATGTGTGTGAGAATAAATATGTGTATGTGGTGTATGTGTGAGTGCTTGCATGCATATATTGTATGCATATGGTGTGTTTGAGTGTGAGTGTGTACATGTGTGTATTTAGAAATACATGGGTAATATCTTTTGGGGAAAACTTTTAGTGGATTTGACGTCAGTGGATACCCAGAGCAAAGAGCGAGAAATAGAAACCTACAAGCGAGTCCAGAAGCTCGAATCTGCCTTCAGAGACTCTGCAATCTGTCACAAAATCCTGGAGAATATTGAAAGAGCGAAACACCTGAAAACTTTACCCATGATTCCTTTCAAAACGAAAGATCCTCCCGGAATGTTCTGTAAGCTGGGTGTCCTTTTGAGGTAAGAGCCTTGGAAATACAGCCAAGGCCCATTTTAGGTCCTCATAGACATTTACCAATAGTGAAATAAAAGGGATTAAAACAGGCTCATTTGGTTTTCAGGAGAGTTACAAGGAACTTAATGAGAAACAAGCAGGCGGTGATCATGCGTCTCGTTCAGAATCTCATCATGGGTCTGTTCCTCATTTTCTACCTTCTCCGGGTCCAAAACGACATACTAAAGGGTGCTATCCAGGACCGTGTGGGTCTCCTGTACCAGCTTGTAGGCGCCACCCCTTACACCGGCATGCTCAATGCTGTGAATCTGTGTAAGTGCCTATATGTGGGAGGTACATTCCCCTGACCCCAAATGTATCTGCTCCAGCTGTTACCTTCCAGAAGCTCACCATTATAAAGGTATTTCTCTAAGCTAAACTTGCCACCTCCAATTCCCCAGGGAAAGGTAGGATCACCTTGGTGCAAGTAGTTTATCAAGTGGACACCTGTGAAGGTTGAAGCACCCAGAAAAAATGCCCAAGTGATGTGGCATTGACGGTGCAGAATTTGGAAAGAGTTTTTCAAAAGTTCACTCTTGTTATACTAGGATTGCTCAGTTTGTGCCGACTCAGCTACCAAGTTGGATCCTATTTTGCAAGCGGCAGCACCTGATTTTTAAACCCAGTGGGGACCCCAGATGGCTCTGGCAGCCTGGTGCTGCAGTTTGCCTCAGAAAAATAGGCTTGGAATTTCCTGAAAAGGAAAACCAACCACTCCACAGGGAAGAGGGAAGAAAGTTCTTAGCATGGCTGATCCTAGATGGGCACAAGGGGCAGTAATGAGTCCTGTCTTCACCGGGCTTTTCTGGCCTCTGGGAACCAATATTGAGTACAGGCTGCTGTGGGGACCAATATCCTGCACAGGATTGGACGACACAGGGACTCGGGTCACTCACTGGTGTCCCTCCCACTCTGTGTGCTTTATCCCTTTACAGAGAAGAAAGAAAAGTGTGGGGGTCTTTCCTACAGCACTGTCCCGCAGGTAGTATGTAGCGTTTTGAGGTGGGTGGATTTATTGTCCCATGATTATGTAGTCTGCCTAGCTGCCTTCTTGACGCAGCCCCGATAGACCCCAAGTTCAGCTTTGGTAGCCTTTCCTCCTGCAGCGGTGTGGTGACTGACTGTTTTTGGAACATACCTTCTATGCTAGTTCCCATGCTGAGAGCTGTCAGTGACCGAGAAAGTCAGGATGGCCTGTACCGGAAGTGGCAGATGCTGCTGGCTTACGTACTGCATGCGCTTCCCTTCAGCATCATCGCCACTGTGATTTTCACCAGTGTGTGCTACTGGTAAGATGGTGTTCCGGGGCACTGAGTTCCCCTGGGCCAGGCTCCCCGTGGAGGGCTGATGGGATCTGTGTAAAGACAAGGTGAACCACTCCATCCATGTCTAGTGCCTTGCAGGGCATGTATTTTATTATAAATAACCCCACTGAGGACTGCATGGGACCCAAGAGCAGGCCAGCAAGATTATGCTAGGGAACAGCATGGCCCAAGCTCGGAGGGTCTGGCTAGAGAAGACTGCTCACAAGGAGCTGGGACCCAGGTTCAGGACCCACATGGCCTTCCCAGGCTGCAGCAGCCCCGTCAGTCTGAAGTTTTGCCGATGGACCTGGACATCACGGTTTGGTGGGTTGACAGGACTTGAAGGAAAGCGGCTACTGGAAGAAGGCACAGGGAACTGCATCACCTCTGTGTGTTTTGACCGATGGCCTTTGTTATTTCTTAGAACTTTACAAAGATAAACTCAAAACGTGCAGGTTTCAGATATTCGCTTTGCTGTCACAAGAAGGCAGATGGGCCCCACCTGTAGCTCATGTCTCTTCCCTATGTGGCTCTGCCAAAGGCAGACCTGGGGGACACAAGTCAGCTTGCCCTGGCCCCATTAGTGCCTAGTACTCAGCTGTGCCAAGAGAGAACTTGCAGGTCGTGAGACACCGTCCCTCTTCACTGCCTGCATTCCTCTGCAGATGCTCTAACTGCAGCCATCATAATGCCCACGACACAGGTATGAGTTGTTTTTCTAAAATACATGCCATGTAAGTGCAAAGTAACCAAGGGCATGTTGATATAAACTCCAGGATGAAGGGTTTGCAGGCCTTGGTGTATACTTTTACTCACAGAGGTAAGGCTGCTTGCCCTCTGTCAGCATGAGCGTGGTAGCAAGGACCACACAGCGTTTCTTGCTGGCTCTGATGGCACCCCCTCTTCCCTGAGCTTTGGAACAATGCTGGGTGTCTGACTGGTGCTACAAACCACAGGCCTAGCTTATTCAGGACAATGGATTCAGAGTAAAACGTTTCTCTCATGCCCTGTCAGCCAGTTTTTAAAATGTGATTATTTTTGAGTAAAAAAAAAAAAGGTTGAATACAAATTGAAGGCTTTGTTTATTTAGACTCTTTCTACTCAACATGGCCATGGGCTGAAGATGGCAGGTTTATTTCCATGCAGGATCTAAGGTTCTGCATACTCACCTGGGTCCTGAATTTAACAAGATTTCCATGTTGATTCGCTTTAAGATCCATTAAGCAAAGACTTTGATTTTCATTTAGACACTGTGAGAAAGAACTAAACAAGTCTTGAGAAAACAGGATGGTTTTAAACCCGATGGAGCCCAAGTGTACACACCATGACTATTTCTCGGGCATAAAAAATGCAGAATCATTTCTAGTAGCTGTGAAGCTGTTAACCACATAGAAAATGCTCCCGTCAAGTTATGGAAAGAGCTGCAGGCTTGCCACTGTATCAGGCCCAGTAGTGGGTGCTGCTACAGGGGATTCAACGAAAAGTAAACTCAAGAGTCCTGCCTTGGAGCTCACAATTCTGAAATCTAGACACCTCAGACACTGCAGAGTACTGGGACAGCTCTTTCCCAGCATGCCCCACCAGAACTTGCACAAGGGCAGAGTAGGATGGGAACCAACACCGGGTCTCAATACTAATCCTGCATGAACAGTCTGCTTAGCAGAAATGTTAATATGTTTGAGGGCCCCAGATGCCACTGCAATATGGCCTGCCTTTCCAAAACTCTTAAGTTTTCATATTCAAAAACTACATCCAGCCTAAAGCATTTCAGATGAGGGACTGTGGACAGGGACGGACCTTGAGCAACTTTAATTAGAGGAAGTGAAAGATTAGTCTTGCACAGAGGCAGAAGCACTGTGTGGAGGAAGCCATGCAACAGCTCACAGGCCGCGAGGCAGCTTACACACAGTGTGGCAGCTCACACACAGCAAGCACTCACCAGCTCTGCATGTATTCATTTATGGAATCCTTGTGACAGCTTTGTGAGGATGACAAGGAATCATTTTTTGTTTGTTTGTTTGTTTTAATGAAGGAGAAAACTGAGGACACCCCAATCTGTTCCTTCAGTCTTTACCTTTCTTGATAAGCCATCCACAGAAATGTCTCCTGGCCAGTCAATCTCCAAGTGGGTCCATCTCCTGAACCTCAGCTCTCCCTGTCTTACAGTCAACAGCACTCAAAATCTTCCACATCCATGGGTGGGCAGAGAGTCTGGGGGAGAGGAAGGTGGGAGGTTTTTGAAGAACTGAATAAGCAATGGTTTAAGGAGAGAAAGGGAGCAGGGGACCCCAAGCAGACAAGGGCACAGGTTCAGAAGCAAACTCACCTAAGATCTTCACAAGGGCAAGGCTCAGGTGTGCTGTGGATGATGAAGGGTTGGGAAGAGGAGCAGAAGCTGAGATGGAGTCTACTCAGGGAAGTGCTGACTTCCCAGTTGAGCCTATCTAGTAACGGGACATACAAGAGGACATTGAAGGAGAGGGACTCCCTTGTGTTGGGTCTGGAGAGTCCAGAGTCTCTTTACTAACAGCCTGGTCTTCGGATAGAGAGGCCCGAAGGCCCAGTGAGGGAGGCTCCATGTGTGGGAAATGTACAGGACCCAAAGCAAGAGAAAAGGTGGGCAACAGAAGGAGGAACTGCCAGGCTGGGGTGTGGCAAAGCACTTGGCTGGCATGCCCAGGGCCCTAGGATTCAATCACCAGGACCACACAACTCTCTCTCTCTCTGTCCCTGTGTATGTGTGTTTGTGTGTGTGTGTGTGTGCGCGCACGCGCGTGTGTGTGTGATAAGCCTATCAGTGTCAGTATAAGTTGAAGGAGGCAAGGCATGGCACAAGGAGGTCATTGCCATCTTTCAGAGCTTCAGGAGTGTAGTGGGGGTGTAGTCTAGTTTTTACAGGGGAATAGGGCATGAGCTGAAGGGGAGCAATGTGGATATGTGCTGGTATGGGATAGTGTGAAACGGGATACTTGCTTAATCTGTGTACTGTCCTTGCATGTGTCTTTCACCAAATTGTTCTCACTAGTGATGGTGTGCCTTAAACTCTCATTAGGCTTGGGGGCCCATTAGTTCATTGCAGATCAAGGAAAAGATATCAGAATGTCTCATCCCATGACTGTTGGGCTTAAAGAATGGCTTTCTTAGAATGTGGGGGGGGGGCGGTAAGCATCAAGAACTATTTGAGGACTTGGGGTATAGCTCTGTGAGAGAGGCCCCAAGTTCAGTTCTCCAGTGCTGCAAAATTAGCATGCAAGCAAGTTATTAGATACGGAGTGGGTGAAAACACAACGCAAAGTAGTTAAGCTGAGTTGCACAGATAGGGGTACAAGAACAACATGGCATCATGGATGCAAGCAGACCCAGTCACACTGGGCAAAGATGGAGAGAAACTAGAGAGAGAGAGAGAGAGAGAGAGAGAGAGAGAGAGAGAGAGAGAGAGAGAGAGAGAGAGAGAGAAACACATAGAGAGACACAGACAGAGATTCATAGAACGGGAGATGAGTTTTCTTCCTGAGAATGGAAAAGAGGATGAAATTGAGGAACTGGGAGAGGAAGTAGCTTTAAGTAGAGGTTATGGCAGCCATGATGAGACCTGCCACTGGATCCCAAGATGTAAAGAGATCCCAAAGCCAGCTAAGTCACAGTGTCAAAGTGGATCCAACTGGTACAGCAATACGCTGTGTTCACTTCTGATCCCTGAAGAGAGCAGGGCTCCTAGAAGGATCAGTGGTGCAGAAAAGGGCAGGGATCTGAGTCCGTGAGCACTATTGAGGACACAGCACATGACTGAGGTAGGAGACAGGGAGCGGCTGACTAGGAGATGTTCTGTGGATGGATTGTCATGAAAGTTAAAAGTGAAAGAGCAGAATGGAAGAATGAACCTTGTCCTCATATGAGAGAATTGTCAAGGTGGCAGAATGTTTTAAGGGCCACAAGACTATGAATTGAGAAGAACATTACCATAATTAAAAGACACAGTGATTTGTTCAAGAGGAAAGGGGAGCCTTCAAGACTGGCTGGGAGGGCGTAGATGAAGCAAGGGGGCGTCTTTCCCTTGCTCTACAATTGGACTGATGGACCCAGAGTCTAATGTGAGTTAAAGGCAAGCTATCCATTGTAAGCATAATTCCTGAGACAAGGAAAGTGCACAGATACAGGCCAGCTTGTTACAAGGACATGAAGGTCAAATCAATCAAGGCTCTTGGAATAAAAGACACCAGGGGGATGGAGTGGGAAGGTAATGCTCAGAGGACAAAGTAGCTAGCAATTTCATGCTGTTGATAACCCTACAGAATATGGATGAGGTGCGGGGCAGCATGGTGGGTGAGCCCGCAGCATTAGAGTAGGAATGGCAAGAAGAACACAGTTATTTATGAAGAGACCCAGAGAATCCAACAGCCCTACACCCGCCAGCCCTTGAGACTGCTGTCTAAGCATTTTAATGTTTTGCCATGAGAGTTAAAAAAGTTATAACAGGCAATTCACACTGCGTTGAATTCAATAGATACAACTGTGGTAATAAGTGGGCTCAAATGTCCGCTTTGTTCCAAAAGAGGGCTGGCAAAGGGGAACGTGGCTTGCCCTGCTAATTCCACCCTCCCACTAGCCAGAAAGGATTTAGTCACAGGAGGCAAGTGCAGTCTTTTTCTTAAATGATAGTGCTTAGAGAGAAAACTAAAGACTTGTGTTTTTCTAGGACTCTGGGCTTGTATCATGAGGCTGCCAGATTCGGATACTTCTCTGCTGCTCTCTTGGCCCCGCACTTAATTGGAGAATTTCTAACTCTCGTGCTGCTTGGGATGGTCCAAAACCCCAACATTGTCAACAGTATAGTGGCTCTGCTGAGTATTTCGGGGCTGCTCATTGGATCTGGATTTATCAGGTAAGAAGAAACGATTCAAAAGGTCCAGTCTGGCATGATCTGTGGGCAAGGATCACCTAATAATGACTGCCATAAAGCAAACCCAGAGAGCCGAATGACGATGGGTCAAGTTGTCACCTTGTCGTCTGGGCTGTCTCTGCTGCTGGCCAACCATTATTGCTTTAGACCTTGAACTGTTCGTTAGCATGGTGTCTTTTTATTGGACATCAGGACACAACAAGGTAAGCGTATTATTGACATGACTCATATGTAGCAAGTTAGTAAAACAAGAGAAGGAAACCAATCTAGATTCTCTAAGAAAATTCCCCTTAATCTGGTCCACTCTACTCGGTGCTGGATTAACTTCCTTAACATGATATTTCAACTTGATCTTGTTCATGGTTACTCACTCAATGTCAACTCATCTCAAAACCCTGGAGCCACAGTTTCCAGTGTCATTCCAAGCTCATCTCCCCCTGCTCCCACTTCCCACCCTCTGTGGTAGCTTGGAGAACTATTCAGCTCTCACAGTGAGACTGGCAGGCTTGTGCTTAGGCCATTTCGGCTTCAGTAAATGGCCTTTCTCCTCTGCAAGTTTTTCCCATGTCCCTACCTACCCTTTCCAGTCCACAGTCTCTCATCTTGGAAAACTGCCAGTAACTGAAAGTCATGGGACTCAGGAACCACCTGGGAATAGGCAAGACAATAAATATGAGCTGAAGGGTGGGATGGCCACATGGTATTGGTTATGTACTCTTGTACATAACCCCTACGTTTCGCTTCTGTGTATTTCTGTGGTACTGAGGATATATAGCCTATGTCCCTAACTACATTATGAGTTCTTTAGGGATAGGATACTTAAAAAAAAAAAGCCCAAAGCACCTACAATTAGAATCTTACAAAGAGAAATTATCTAATATACATCTATATGTATAAATGTTTTGCTTGTGTGTATGTCTGTGTACTACATATGTGCCTAGTGCCTGTGGGGATCAGAAGAGGGTGTTGGATCCTCTGGAACTGGAATTACAGATGGTTGTGAGCCACCATGTAGGTGCTGGAATTGAACCCAGGTCCTCTGCAAGAGTAAAAGGTCTTCTAAACCATTGAGCCAACTCACCAGTCCCAGAATATGTTTTTAATGATAGACACCATATAGTGTTCTAAGAGGGAGTCAATATTGACAGGAAGTTTCTCCTGAGAAGCTGAAGAGTGGCATGTTTTTCACAAGGATAAAGAAAGGAGCAAAAGGGAAAAACAACAAAAATCCCCCCAAATGCCAAACAAAACCAAAAACAAACCACCAATCTCCCCCACCCCCCAAACCCCAAACCTCTACCAACAAAAAAAATCCACAAACCAAAACTCAAGGAAGAGCTGCTTGCAGACTCCGACTGTCCACTTTGTACGATAGTGTGGTCCCCATACCATCCTGAGGACCTTCACATCTCCACTCAGTCACAGGTCACACTCTTCACCTAATATAGTGTGTATTAGTGCATGATTACTGCATGTTTATATAAGTAATGTTAGAGAGAGACACATACACAGAGACAGAGAGAGACACACACAGAGGCAGAGAGACAGACACACAGACAGACAGTGAGAGAGAGAGATGGCACCAGCCAATGGTCACGAGAGTCTCTAGGTTTCTACGTAAATGGCTGCCAGGTACAGGCTGAAAATGATCAAGCACCATACTTACCATCATGCAGGGTTGACTGAGATCTTTGTGAAGAGTCTACATCTACACAGTGTGAGTTCCGCAAACACACACATTTTCTGTCAGATTGCCAAAATGTCAACAGTTGTCTCTGGGGAATGGTATTTATTTACAGTTTTCAGTGTTAGCTGAAGACTTCAGAGTAAGCATCATTTTAATAATAGGGGTGGAAGAGTATATTACAAAACATAAGGACTGCTTTTTTTTATGTAATAAGACTATTTACTAGAACCTATTGAATTTTCTTTCTGTTTTCTTTTTCTTCAGAAACATAGAAGAAATGCCTATTCCTTTCAAAATCCTGAGTTATTTTACATTCCAAAAATATTGTTGTGAGATTCTTGTAGTCAACGAGTTCTACGGGCTGAATTTCACTTGTAGTAAGTATTCTGTTTTACAATATTATTTTTATATGTTTCTCTAAGTAAGCAATTTCCTAGGGAAATGTATTTTTGGAAGAAGTGTGTGTGTGTGTGTGTGTGTGTGTGTGTGTGTGTGTGTAGCCCAGAAGACGAACTTGGATTTTATTGGGTTTTGTTTCCTCATAGTTGCCCACTCTGTCGTTTGAAACAGTGTCTCACTAGGACTGGGGCTCTCTGATTAGGCTGGGCTGGCTTACCTGGAAGCCTCAGGCATGCATGCCTCCTCAGTGCTGGGATTGTAAGTGTGTGTCACCATGCCCAGTGTTTTATGTGGGTGACTCAAACTCAGGCCTTCTTGCTTCTGTGGTAGTCACTTGACTGAGTATGCTATCTCCCAAAAACTCTTAGAAATGTTGTAATTTCACAATAAAAATTTCAAACCTTGATTTGAAATAAAGTCCACCATTTCCTCTGATTTAAAATAAATTTTAAAGAGATTTGTTTATTTTGTCTGTGAGTGTTTTGCCTGCCTGTACATATGTATGCATGCTGTGTGAGTACCTGCCTGCTGGTGGAGGCCAGAATGGGGTGTACGATCTCCTAGGACTGGAGTTCAGACAGTTGTAAGCAGCTATGTGGGTGCTGGGAACTCAACCCGGGTGCTTTGCAAGACCAGCCAGTGCTCTTACTCTGAGCTGTCCCTCCAGCCCGTCCCCATTTTTCTCTGATTTTTAAAGGAAAATATTCATCAGTCAAGTTGGTCTCCAGTCAATGGCCAATACCATAAGGGCACTTGATATTCTTAGAAAGTGACAGGTCTATGTAATTGCTAGTATATTCTAGATAGGCTCAGCTTCTATATTGCTGACCATACCAAAGCAAGCTAATTGCTCTCCAAAATGTGTAGAGAATACAGATGGGTAAACCCATTTTTTTTTTTTTTTTTTATGACAAAGGTCAACCTCCAATCCCAAGACAGGGCAGTAGGAACAAAATTGCCCATGGCCACTGGAAATCCCAGGGCATGGCAGGGGTTAATGGTTAAATACTTCCAGATAACAATGCCAGCAACTTTTAGGGTATTTGATAGGAGGAAACAACCAGGAACAGAGGAATGTATCTAGTCTCAAAATACAATCAAATAGTTTTCCATCTTCAAAACAAGCCAGGACCCCTAGACCCTCTCTTGCTTCATCTCATTGTTAATTCTGGGCTCTCTGAAACAGTGTGTCTCTCATTGAGAAGTTTACTTAGAGTGTTGAACACTTTCTGAACATTGGGGAGACATTGTGCTTGAAAAACCTGATTTACATCAGAACTGATACTATCTTCTCCTTGGCAGTTGCCTCCAATACCTCCATGCCAAATCACCCAATGTGTGCCATCACCCAAGGAGTCCAGTTCATCGAGAAGACCTGCCCGGGCGCCACGTCTAGATTCACAGCCAACTTTCTGATCTTATACGCATTCATCCCCGTGCTTGTCATCCTAGGGATAGTGGTTTTCAAAGTCCGGGACTACCTTATTAGCCGATAGTTAAGATCTCAGCCAGGAAAGTGTTTAATGGGCAGCTGTGGACAACAGAGGAGTGCCAGCTTCTAACCACTGCGATTCCATTTGTGACCCTTGCATCTATCCAGGCTCCCAAGCGCAATGGAAAAACTGCTCACAGTCTGTTGCTATGCCAGCTTGTGGGGAGATGTGTTACTTGGAAAATGTGACTGAGCTGGTCCAAGGTTGTAAATAATAATAACAATAATAATTCATAAACCTATGGGAGATTAGTTTGACTATGTGTTTTTTCTAGACACAGAAAAATAAGCCTGTTTTAAAAATTATGTTTACATTTGATAAAGAATTTGATAGAACGAACGTGCGTGTGATTACTGACTGAGCAGTACAGGAAAAAAAGTTCTGGTTTGCCTGAGAAAACCTCCTACAGAAGGGGATAAAGAGCTTCCACTGCCATTTAAAAGCCACACAGGCATGTGCTTGTCCACATGATGGGGCTGGTCACCTGATCACATCAGGCAGCTGCTGGACAGATGTTGGCGAACACCTCGATACACAGCAAAGAAACCTCAGGACGACGCTGAACACTGAACGACGTGTGTCAGACAGACTTCTGTTCTTTTACTTTTAGCATAGTTTGCCTTTTAAAATTAAATGTTACCAGACAGAATGTGACTGAGAAATGAGCTATATAAGTCTGGAGAATGGCTGCTTTGCAGTGTCCATGTAGAAAAAATAGTCACATGACACAACAAGTTCCCTAAGAAGAGCAGGGTTGCACATGGGAATTCATGTTCTTGAGTTGTAGAGATGAAGGGTTGGTAAGGGCAAACACACACCTACAGCACATGCTTGTGGGGATGAAGTGATGACTGTGGGCTATTAAAAATGGATTCTCTGCTAAGTGACTGATTATCTTTCTCATCGATCTGCGAGTAAGTCATGAACGAGTCTGAAATTTAATTCTCCCTATGTCACCATGGTAACTATGAGTGAGGCTCTCAGAGAGAGCACATGAACTTGTGCGGTTACTGTGACCTAGCTTGTAGAGAATGATAAATTACCACGCTTGAAATGTCTCCCATTATAGCAGAAAGGAAGCCACAGGCGAAGTCTATTGCTGAGAACTGCATTTAAGGATCTGAGGCACGGGTATATTACCAGCACAGTATTGTCATTTCTTATAAAAGGTCTGTGACACTGATGATTATGGTGTAATAGTCATACAATGCCTTACAGATTATATATGTCACATCAGTTATAGACAGTCCTAGAGAAGATAATCTACTCAGGTAGTTCACAGAGAGTCCCATGGGGAGGAGCCTCTTTTGAAATCACTGATTTCAACTTACTGAAGATACAAGGTAAGTAGTAGAAGCAGCTTCTATTGTTCATATGCAGATGAATTTCATTCTAGTTCAGAAACATTTGGAAAACTGACGTCGTGTGTGACTTCAAGCCATTAAATGCTAGTGATAGTGATAGCACCCCAGAAGCATGGTGGCTTTTGGCACCTGGCAGCTTGTGTCTCGTGTCACAAAATGGACAGTGATATAATCAACACAGAATGACCATTTCTATTGCTGTTGTAACCTGAGCCGTTTGTGCCATCAGGGTGCTGACCACAGGAGGGCTTTCTCCACAGCATGGAGATGCATCAGGAACTCACTGAACACTTTTCTCAAATGTCAGAACACATGCAAGTCAAACAGCTGGCAGACTCATGTTTCATCAAAATAACCTGATGTGCATCACCTGTCTTCATGTTCTTAGTAAATGCACATATTCAAACCTGTGTCCATGGCACATGAAGAGTCACTCAGGTCACAAAAATACATACCTTTCCTGACTAATGATAATGGCTGTCCTATCCAGAACTGGCTTCTCTTATGTGATACCTGCCTGGAAGTCATCCTGGATGTTTATCATCTCATGTTTTGGCTAGCTTAGGTGATAGGCTAATCCCTTAGACTGGCCTGTTCTTTAAAAGGCAGTGTCAAAATAAACGTGAGAGTCTCACTGGGTGAAGAGGGGAAAGGGAAGGAAGGAGGTTGCTGCTTTAAAATGGCTGCTTTCAGACAGCTGGGAATCCCTGGGCATGAGGACCAGGGATGTGTATTTTACATAAGCACCTGCAGGTGCTTCTTGTGCCTCTCTGTTAAAGATGAGATCATGACACCGGTCAGCTCCTTTCTGGTTTCCTATCAGCTGCAACTACACATTCTAGAAAAAAACGTGTCCAGTATGGGCACCAGCTTTATATGGAAACTGCTACCAGGACCAACAAATGGGTCAGTGGTTAAAGGCACCTGACACCAAGCCTGCTGCCCTGAGTTTGATACCCAGAACCCAAGTGGTAGAAAGAGGAATCTGGAAAGTTTTCCTTTGACCTCCACATACATACCATCACACACACACACACACACACACACACACACATCACACACACACCATCACACACATACACACACACACCATCACACACACACACACACCTCATCACACACACACCACCACACCCACACACCATCACACACACATCATCACACACACATACCATCACAAATACACACACATTACACACACACATCACATACACACACCATCACACACACATAGTACACACACACCATCACACACACATACACATATCACCACACACAACACACACACCTCATCACACACACACCATCACAAATACACACACACATTACATATACACCATCACACACACACACAATATACACACACCATCACACACACATACACATACCACCACACACACACCTCATCACACACACACCACCACACCCACACACCATCACAAATACACACACACATTACATACACACCATCACACACACACACAGTATACACACACCATCACATACTCATACACATACCACCACCACACACCTCATCACACACACACCACCACACCCACACACCATCACACACACACACCATCACAAATACACACACACATTACATATACACCATCACACACACACACAGTATACACACACCATCATACACACATACACATACCACCACACACACACCTCATCACACACAAACACCACCACACCCACACACTATCACACACACACACACACCCTACATACACCGTCACACATACACACACACACTAAAAAAATAGATAAGTAAACAAATGCAGAATAACTGGTACCAGACACCACTGATTCATATTTCTAAAAACAAACAAACAAAAACCCAGAGCAGATACATGTACCAAATGAAATTTATACTACTTAGACATTACAGGCATGTGATAGAAAATTATTTTATTTAAAAAGAAATATATATAGTGAAAATTTTCTCTCTAAAAGACAAAGTTGTACCAGAATAAGAAATAGATTTCCCCTAATACATTATACATTTCAACTTTCTTCACATGTTGCCACAGAAGATGAGAAAATAATCTTATTTGAAGTGGAAAGGAAGACATAAGCCCACAATACTGGACCAGACTCAAGGGTCCAGCTCAATTTGTTTCCAGGTCTTGGAAGAATTTCTCTTGTACTGGTCCAGTTCCTGAAACAAAGATCTGCATTACTTTAAGGAAAACAAAACGGAACATAATTTCAAGACTTGTTTTCTGCAAGAGAGCCTGCAGAGTTCCTGGGCAGACTAAGCAGCACTCAGAGATGAATTTAGTAAGGTTTCAGATAAAATTATCTACTATACAGAATATACAAGTCACTTTTTGCTAGCAAAAACAAGGCCTTAACAGTTCAAGGATTTAAAAGTAACTATATTTCAAAGTGATGTTCAGCTCTTTCCAAAAGTTTGTTTGAAGTTAGCAAAGTATCAATATTTGAGATTTAGATGTCCTTCAATACAGATTCTGCTTTTAGAAATGTTATCACACTAGGGCTGGAGAGATGCCTCAGTGGCTAAGAGCACAGGCTGCTTTTCTGAAGGACCTGGTTTGACTCCAAGCATCTCATAACCATTTATAACTCTAGTTCCAGGGGATCCAAAGGCCTCTTTTGTGTATACATAAAGTGTACAGACATGTATGTAGGTAGATATCATACATGTAAAATAAAATAACAATAAAAACCTTTAGAAAGACATGTACCACCACACCACACTGAGCCAGGTCTGTAAGGCCAGCACTGGGGAGGCTGAGACAGGAGGATCTGATGTTTGTCGTCAGCCTGGTCTTCACAGTAAGACCCAAGGAATGGAATGTAGTTCAATAGTAGTGTTTGCCTAGCAATGGGTTTCATCCCCATCACTGAAAAGACAAAATCATAATGTTAGGTATGGTGACAAATGCCTTTATTTCTAGTACCTGGGAGGCAAAAGCATCGGGGGTCAGCATGATCTATACAGTGTACTCCAGTGAGACACTAACAACAACAACAACAAAATCCCAAAAATTGTAAAGTAAAAAAAGGTTTTTGTTTGTTTGTTTTTTGTTTTTTTCAATACAGGGTCTCACTATGCAGTTCTGGCTGTCCTGGAACTTGCTTCGTTTGTAGATCAGGCTGGCCTGAAACTCACAGAGATCTCCCTGCATCTGCCTCCGGAGTGCTGGGATTAAAGGATTAAAGGTGTGTGCCCCCATCGCCTTTCTTAAAACATAAACGAACAGACCTGGCTTTTGGAGATAATTCAGTGTGTTACAGAGCTTGTAGTTTGAGCTTAAGACCTGAATTCAAATCCCTAGCACCAGAAGAAGAAGGAGGAGGAGGAGGAGGAGTAGGAGGAGGAGGAGGAGGAGGAGGAGGAGGAGGAGGAGAAGGAGAAGGAGGAGAAGAAGAAGAAGAAGAAGAAGAAGAAGAAGAAGAAGAAGAAGAAGAAGAAGAAGAAGAAGAAGAAGAAGACGACATAGTGAAGAAGAATGAAGCATGCAGGGCGTGGACAGACTGAGGCTCCTGCAATATCTGCACAGCTGGGAACAGCTGTCTGCAGAAGGAACTGATTAAGGAGTTGAGTGTTCATTTACACTCAGCCTGGGGGCAGTGGAGAGAAACTGACAGTAGACATATGTGCCCCATGGGAAGAGCAACAGTGGGAAGACAGGAACCTTCCATTGTCTCCTTCCAAGAACTCAACATCTTTAACAGCACAGGTAGAAACTACCGACAGTAGCCTTCAAAAAGGGATCACCTTCGGGCAGCTTTGTGCTGATTACTGTCTGAGCAACTGTACAAAGTGTATCATTATTCTGGATAAACAAAAGTGGTTGCTCTGCAAGATAAGCTGAGTACTGCCCAGCAGCTGGGGTTACTAACGTTCACAGTTGCTACAAACAAAATCCATTGCTGTGTTCATAAAAGGTGCACATTATCTTTCACAGTTATACTTTAAGCTATTAAAACTGAACTATTGAAGAGTTTCAAAGCTGTGTGTATACTTTAGAATGCTTTTATGGTAATAACTTTTAAGAAGTTATCAGATTGGTTTATGCTGGAGTGACACCAACCCTAGTTTACCAGTTATTTTCCACGTAAGCTGGAAAAGATTGTTAACTAATAAAAAGTAGGTAACCAGGTGTGGTGGCACCCACCTTTAATCCCAGACCCCAGGGGCAGAAAAGGATCTCTATGAGTTTGAGGCCAGCCTGGTCTACATAGTGAGTTCCAGGCCAACCAAGACTACACAGCTAGACTTTGTCTCAAAACAATGAAAAAGATTCACAAAAGTAAAGTGATATTGCAAGCTTTGCCTTTAACTGGAAATGGTCAATTGTTTTTTGTTTTTGTTTTTTGTTTTTTGTTTTTTGTTTTTTTTTACCAGGATCAGGTGAGGACATTGCCTGGCAAGTTTTTGCTGACTGTGGTATATAACAATCTGTACACCACAGACAGAGAAAAGAATGGGGCTGGTCCCCTTCCAAAAGAAGGAAAAGGAGCAATCAGCTGATCCAAGACCCCAAAAAAGGCCACTAGGCTTTCAATACTGCAATCAGATGAATTCAGAACAATTGATATTCGAAAGGTACAGTAAGGTTTTCTTGACGATCCCATGGCTGCTTGCAGAACAAGACTGAGAAGCTCCCTCCCTTGGCCACCCCACCCTCTCGAACTCTCTTAAGACTTCTAAAGGCTCTGAAGATACACAGTCTATAGTCTTATGACACATTTATATAATATGATATAATAATAAATTACAGTGGCATCTTCAACAAAGGATGGTAACATTTTTCTCTAACCATGTGAACTGGTGAGCCAGTGTGCTTAATACATTACAGCCCTAGGAGCAAGTGGATTGTTTTAAACTGAGGAGTCAAACAAGAGAACTATGGCTGAACAATTATTTACCTAAACCTCCCCTCCCCTGGCCTGGACTCCTTTTTTTGTTTGTTTGTTTTTAAAGGCAGGGTCTTGCTGTGTAGCCCTGGCTACCCCTGCTGCTCCTATGTAGACCTCAGCCTCCCCAGTGCTAGGATTAAAGTCATGTATCCCCACAACCCCTACCCCCTTTATCCTCTTTTAACAGAAATATTGAAAAGAGGCAGAAGGGTGGAGCAAGCACTTTCCATATCCCGACTCCCTGAAATCAGGAGTGAAAGGCACTGGAGAGAAACGAAGTTTCTGATGCCCGTGTGAAATCTGATGGGAGAGACTTTTGAGAAGAGTGCTAACCAGGAAAGACCCTGTCTGCAGGAAAGCTCTGGGCTTCCCCAGCCTCTGATCAGCATGGGCCTGCTTCACAGGTTACAGGACCTCCCTCATCGGAAAGGACTAGCGAGCGTCAAGGCAGATCTGAAAGCCAAGCTCACTGCCTGTCTTAGCTATGCTGTGGTAAGAAGACACCATGGCCAAAAGAAACTTGGAGAAGAAAGGGGTTTATTTCCGCTTACATATATGCCTGCATATATGCCTCCACACCACAATCCATCACTGAGGGAAGTCAGGACAAGAACTCAAGCAGGGCAGGAACCTAGAGGCAAGAGCTGATGGGGAGGCCATGGAGGAGGGCTGCTTACTGGCTTGCTATCCAAAGCCTGCTGAGCCTGCTTTCTTATAGGACCACCAGCCCAGAAGTGGCCCCACTCCTAATGGGCTGGGCTCTCCCAAACCAATCACTTATTAAGGAAATGCCCTACAGGCTTGCCCACAGTCTGACCTCATGGAGGCTTTTTTAAAAATTGAGATTCTCCCTCCCAGATGACTCTAGCGTGTGTTAAACTGACACAGAACCAGCCAGCATAGTGGCATATTCCTGCAATTCCTCTGAGGAGATGAGTTGCAGGATTGTCCGTTCAAGACCAGTCTGAGCTACAGAATGAGACTGTGAAAAAAAAATCTGAATATAGATCATAAAAGAAGTATGTTAGAACAGGGACTTCCCATGAGGCATTGCGGGATGTGGTGGTGGGATTATTATGACTGGAGGGATTATGTATAGAGAGGTGATTCCTCAGGCAGACTTTTATGGCAGACCTGAGCGAAGTCATGAGCTTGCTGCTCCATTGTAAAACTGCTATGCTCCAATCTCACTGTAAATGCTTCACCGGTGGCTTCGAAGGCCCCTTTCTGTTCCAGACTACTATAGTTAGGGTGCTGACAATGGGTGTTGGACAGAGCAAAGGAGCCAAGGGAAGATCAAGTCCTGTCTCTCCAGGCTCAGAGCTAGCCCTCCACTCACAGGCAATGACACTATAGTTTAATGATCTAGGACGTCAGTCCTCAGCAGAGAAAGGCTGAGCAGTGCTGGGTCACCAGTGTCAGACATAGGCAGTCCACACCGTCTGAAGAGCCTGCAGGTTGCTTCATCCGGGTGACATGCCCCCATGGAATTGTGGAAAATCCTAAGTGCAGGTCTAAGTCAGAAGCAGCTGAGCCCTTTTAAATGAATGGACTATCTTGTTCAGTGCCAACACGGAGCTAAAGATCACACTGCTGTTTTCAAGGGAAAATGCCACTCAGCAATCAATAATCATTAAAAGGTAAAAGAGACAACATGAAGCAGAAATATAGAAAACTGGTCAGGTTTTAACCTAAAGCTCATAATTTTTTATTTTCTCTATCATTTTTCTATCAATCTATCTATCATCTGTCTATCTATCTATCATCTATCATGTGTCTATCAATCAATCAATCAATCAATCAATCTATCTATCAATCATCTATCATGTGGCCATCCATCCATCCATCCATCCATCCATCCATCCATCCATCTATGTCGGGTCTCATTCTACAGCTCAGGCTGGTCTCAGACTTGCAAAGCTCCTGCTGAAGCCTCTAGAGTATGGGATGAACTTTTGTTTTAAGCTGTCTGGGTAAAACTGGCAGCGACTGTCTTGCCCATATAAAAGATGCAGGTATTTATGTAAATATTCAGAGAGAGTGCTTATGGCACACAGTTGGAAACTGTAGTGGCATCTTGTCTTGCCAGTGAACTTGTGGCAGTGGCCACAAGTTTCAGGTGCAGCTGTGACCCATTATGAGGGAGAGGCTGGGCTGGCTCACACTCTCTTGGGTTTCAGAGAGCATCGGAAGGGCAGAGACTGCATCTTCTGGAGCAGGAAGGCAGTGAGGTTATTCACTCTTATCTGTGTAAGTCCTTCTCCAATAAACACCTATTCATCATCTATCTTGGGTCTGGTGGACTCATTTAAACCCCGCCTTCATGAAACAACTCTAGCTTCTGAAATTCCTTTGGGAAAAACATGAAAAAAAATTCAAATTCAATTTTTGTTTGTTTTGTTTTTGAGACAGGGTCTCACTGTGTAGTTTTGGCTCTCCTGAAATTCAGTATGTACACCAGGCTGGCCTTCACCTCACAGAGATTTACCTGCCTCTGCTGCCTGGCCTTAATAGAAAAAAAACAAAAAACAAATATTAGAATGTCAAATATTAGAATCAGCTATCAATTGAATAATCAAGTATCAAATGATAGTCATTGAGGTACCTTTACAGCAAAAGTACAAATTACATGGAGACTCTATCTGTGCAGTCTGAAATCAAGGCACCTTTGAGGTAAAATGGAGATAGGCTAGTCCTCTACTTTCACTCAAAGTGAAGTCAGAGAAGATGTAATTCCAAAGTGTAAATTCAGAGTTCAAAACACGTCAGCGCATTGCTAATACCTGTGCATATGACCTTATTAAAGTAGTCACAATGCAATAGAAACAGATAATGACAGTTAATAATTGACTCAAAGACTAATTGGAGATGACCTCCAATGATCTCCACAGCCAAGGTTCATGTACAATAAAGGTTACATCAGTTCATCTGATTGTCCCACCTCATCCTTCAGGCTTTGCTATAGCTACAAAATCGTTTAAATATTCACAGCATAGTTTCTAGTTGTCTGGAATGTGTTTAAATGAAACATTTGCTTACTTAATTTTAGGACCTCTTGGGCTAGAGGATGAGCGCTAAGATAAATGTCCTGGTCACCAGTCCCAGGAGGCAGATGTCTCCAAATAACCCTTCCAACTGCGTGACTGCCTGAGTTACAAAGTTCTATAACCCCGCCCAGACATGGTCATGCTTCCAGTTTGCAGAGGGCGTTATACAAACATGTCCTCATCCAAGGACAGTGCGACATCTCATTCCATCACCGTAAAGGAAGGTCTGACAAAAGCCTATCTCCAGTACTTGTGTCTTGCAATGCTCATACTCTTTCTTAAGATTTGCACGCTGAAATGGGGCTATCCTGGCATGCCCACTTCAAAGCACTTTCTTCACACCTAGGGTCTGTGGGGTCTGCCCATATATCTTGGCTTGATTGGCTAGAGTCCTTAACCGGACAAAGTAATATCGTAGTACAAGGAGAGTACATTACACCTGACACAATAGGGAACAAACACTTCCAAAGACTCTCACAATTATGAGTATCATGAAAGCATCTCTCTGGCATCAAGGTGGGAGCCATACCCATGTTTAACATCAAGTAAACTGGAAAGTTGGAAAAGGATTTGCAAGCATTTGCATTATCTCTGGGTGGTAGAATAGCAGATCTTTATATGCATCTATAAGAGCTTTTTTTTTTTTCTACAAAAATGTGTTACTTAAATAATTTTACAAGCAAAAAAGTTAGGAAAATGTATGAATTTCTTGACGTACACCATATTTTCGTGAAATTGAGTTTTGGGAAGTACCTGATCCTTCTGAACTCTCATTTCATCAACTTCGCTCTCCGCATACTGTGGATCTCGGGCAGGGTCCTGGATCGCCTTCAGTGTGCCGATACTCTGAAATCACAAGTCATTTCATGCCCATCACCCACATTTCAATGATCACCATCTGTCTAAGGGACCAAGCTCCATCAACCTGGCACTGAGAGCGCTTTGCTATTTCAGCTTTCATCAGATAGAAATCCACCTCAAACACACATGTCACACCCTCTGCCCCCTCCCCATCTCACTCCCCACTCCCTGATACCACCTCTCACCCCCACCTCCTCTCACCTCTCCCTGCCATCCCCCCTCACCCCCTCCATCAGCTGTCTCTCTCTTCTAACATCCAGAGAGCTGTGTTTGGTAGGGGACAGGGCCCTTTCTTACTCAGCTATTAACCTCCACAGTGCTTTGCTTACACTGATCTCAACAAACACTGCATCGTTTAGGAACATGAGAAACAGAGTTATCATGTCAGAACCTTTGTGGCACTTCCTGTCACAGCTAACTGTGGTTTTCCAGCAATGAGAAATACCCACCTTTGGTGGGAATAGCTTTTCATACACCTTTTTCCACAGCTCCATAGGTGAATGGGCCTGGAGCTTTCCAATGTCACTATCAGGAACAGGAGGGGATCCTAAAATGGAAAGTTTTACCCCAAATGACTACAGCAGAGATTAAGTTATTGTAAACTATTAATAACACAGGTGTCATTTCCTGAAGTACAAATCTTAGGTCACTCAGCGTCTATCTCCATGTTACAGACACCATTAAAATTGTGCCTTCCTAGGTTGTTGTACCGGCAGCGGCAGTAAGAAATAAGGGGTGAGTTATAACTCACATTCCACACCCTGCCCTGGATTCTGTGCCCCATTAACAGTGATTCCAGATCTTGAAGTTTACACTAGAAGATTTCATGCAGCTGCACCATTTGTTTTATGTAAAACTGGTCACAACACAGAAGTTCATTCCCAGCAGATAATGAACTGTCATATGCATAGCTGTTTCATAATCCTAGGAAAACAGTCCACATATCAACTAGAACTGTGGGCAGCATACACACTGAAAACCCAATAAAGTATACTGAGTCTAAGATATACAGGCATACAGGCAAAGTTTTCTACATGTGTGTAAATGAAAAGTGCTGAAGAGATGTGAGATAACCTTCACACATGCATTCTCTCTCTCTCTCTCTCTCTCTCTCACACACACACACACACACACACGCACACACACACACACACGATTCAGCTTTTTCTTCCTTTTGAAGTGCTGGATTGTACCAAGGACCTCATCCATGCTAGGCACTCCACCCCCGAGCTATAGTCACAGTGCTAGCCCCACCATTTTAATGAGGAAAATGTATTTGTAACTTGAATATTTAGATTACTTTGAAAAATTAAAAAAATTCAGTTACCCTCTGGCAATTTTTAACTGATAACCTGGGATTTTTATTCTTTATTGTCTCCCCAAATTGTTGATCTTCAAGGGCTTCCTTACCATCTTGGTGTAAAAGTATTGATTTGCTACTTTGTGTTTGTGTCTGTGTATGTGTCTAACACTGATGCTGGGAACTGAACTTGGTCCTTTGGAAGAGTAGCAAGTGCCCTTAATCACTGAGCCATCTCTCAGCCCCAGCTCTCTGATTTTATTTCTAAATTAAATAACTAGCAAGCCTTTTCTGGATCCCTATTCCAACAAATGGGAAAATTCAGTCAGCATTATCTATCGGTACACTATTCTCACAGATAGACAGACTTTTGTCAACATACACAGTGATTCTTAGGGCTCCTGAAATTAAGCTAGCAGTATTTTAAAAAGGTCCTAATCTGTCTCCATGGCCATCCATTAAGCATCTCATTCTTTGCTAAGGTCCCTACATTTGAAGCCATGTCACCCTCAGCTCCTAGGAGGAATAGAGGGTACCAGCAGCCTGTTATCATGTAGGAAATCAAATCACACCCAAGGGTCTAGAGACATGCTAGGTCCAAAGAGCTTCACAAAGAAAACAGCTTTCTTGGAAAGATAAGGGGCTTGAGAAATAGATTATGGAACCTGTGAGTTTAGATGATACTTCTCAATAGCAAGGCAAACTATTTGCTCTTGCTCTCTGAAATTTTAAAAGAGGGTCTTGTTATACAGTCCAATCTGACTGGCCTTGAGTTTAAAGCAATCCCCCTGCCTCAGTCTCCAGAGTGCTGGGATTACAGGTGGGATATACCACCACAGCAACTGGAAAACCATCTTACAGTGGAAAGTTAAGGCATATCTAATGGCTCTTGGTTTATCTTATCACTTCAACCTCGCACAGCTGATAGTGATTGACAGTGTGCTCTGTAGTCCCCTGGCTACTCTATAGTCCTGATTTCTTCTCAACTTGGGGAACTAGAATTTAAAAGTGCATTTTTGAAAAGCAGAACAGAGATCACAAATCTGTTCCCCGTGCAGTGCTGTACTTTCTACCACAAATATGTCAATGTGTTGCAAGCGACATCAATTCTGGGTATACCAATAAATACATATGAAATAACTGCCAGAAAATGAAGCCAGCAATGGTAGTGTGCTGGAGGCCAGGGAAACAGAAAGATAAAATCAATAAGCAATTTAAAAAGATTAAGCAATACTAATAAGTCCACCAACCTATTTGACATAAAGAGTCCAGTCCTGCTGTGATAAACAGTGGTTTATTCTGATCCACACATATTGATTTGCTGTATGGCAAAAAAAAAAAAAAAAGATTCTAATTTAGTTCACCAATTGAATATGCTGCCACACTCCACTGTAAACACAAGGACCAGGTTTTATATAAGTCACCGATGAGAGCATTGACCCAAATGGGCCAGTAAACATTGACTGACAGACTCATACCACAGTCAGTCAAAACCAAGAGAAAGAGCAAGGCAAAAAAGACAGATGCTAAGATTTTCAATTCCATTTAAAATTAATAGAAGAAAATAATAACACAAGGACAGCCAAAGTGATGGAAGGGGAGATATAATGGAGATCAGGGAACAAGGATAATTTGAAAATACTTAACAGTACCTCTTGTCAATACCGAATGCCAACTGGTTGATAACACCGCGGATTTTCAATAACAGAGCTTCTGATTTGCTGGTAAACTGAACGACAAACAGGAGATTCAATTATACTGTTTTATGATCTCTGTAATAGGTAAAAACATGGTTCTGAACAAGCACAGATGGCAAGAGAATTACAATTTCTTGCTGAATAAAGAAATCTTGACGCACTTGCCTCATTAACCAGAGTTCATGAGTGCACGAGGTGGAAAGGAACACGCCATTCACTGCACCTACTCAAATGGTCAGAATTAGTATGTTTGTGTTTCCCTGAAATGTCTGTGCTGTGGGTTGACACGAACACTCGAGGTTAGGCAACTAGAGGCATGTATCAAAAGCAACTGTGACATCTGCAGGTGCACTGCTGCCATCAAGGCAGTCGCGTGGCAGCTGCAGGCGGGGGCAGTCACTAGGGATTCCTGAAGTGACTTTTTAGCTTCTTTTTTGACTTGCCTGCAGAACCTGAACAAAAAAAGATTTCTGAATACTCTCCCAGGTCAACTATGAGAGGATCAAACCAGAAAATCTCAGCAAAGTGAAAGGACGTGGCTTCTGTCGATAACTATGATCTGATGCCGTGGAACCCAGGAGGCATGGTTACTCTACGAACTGTTTGTCAGGGTTTGCCTTCTAAATACAACATTCCAAGGCAATGGGAACAGCTGAGATGTATGAAATGGCAGGGATGGGGGACCTTAAACTGGAATGAAATATACTTATAAAGCAAAGATAATCAAGTCTGTGCTTCCCGAGGTAAATACGGGAGATCACCTTAATTAGGGCATAAGAATGGGCTCACAGTACCAGGTTATGGAGATCAGATAAATGTATCTGATTTAAAACAAAAAATTAAGAGTACTGCTAATGTTTATTATGTGGTATTTAAAAATAGGGAAAATTTTAACTTAAGAAAGTATTACTATGCAATTATGTATTTATTACAACATAATCAATACAATGTTATTGATTTAAACCATATAACTTTGTAATGTTTTGTTTGCATGCTAAGGGTGAGGAGAAAACCTAACCACAAGTAGGTTTCATAGGAGGTAGGGTGGGAGGACAGTAGAACTTTTCTCACCCACTCCTCCAGCTGCTGTCTCTCAGACACGCTCCACACAGCTGTGGACCTTCTCTTGGATCAGCTCAGTGCTGGGGACTGACACTTCCTCGCCCAGAGCAACGCATCCCATTTCAGACAAAGATCACGCTAGAACATTCCTCTCTACTGATTAGTCTAAGGTATTAATTCTAAAACATTCTACCCTATTGATTCTTTTAAAATCTGTAAAAACATTCTCCAAAGCATCATGTCAACCTGACACACAGGCAGATAGAGCGCTGGCTCTAAAGGCATCAAGAATGTGTAATGAAATGTATTTAAAATACTCTGAAAGCACAAAAACTAAAAATACACAGACTACCCAGTACTTTCAGTCATGCAGCCTCTATGTTCCTCTGAGTGCTTTAATTAAGAGAAAGGGGGACCATTAAATATTTATCTATCTATCTCTTTATTTATTTATTTATTTTTGGTTTTTCGAGACAGGGTTTCTATGTGTAACAGCCTTGGCTATCCTGAAACTCTTTGTAGATCAGGCTGGCCTCAAACTCACAGAGATCCAACTGCCTCTGCCTCCCAAGTGCTGGGATCAAAGGAGTGCAATACCACCGCCTGGCAAAATTCATGATTTTAACCTCTATATTATTTCTTTTATACAAAAAACAACATCTCACTAAAGTTTTCCCCCTGTTTCCTTCTGAGGGAGTATAGATTCTAATTCTTAAGAGAAAAAACGAAAACGAGTGACTATGACAATGTACCTCTGTAAGTTTGCCTGCACTTACAGATACAAGCAATGTAGGGAGGAGCAGCCACAAGCAGACTGTGTTGTGTGGACACCCAACGGCCTGCAGGAACAGGACTTTGGCAGGGGGGAAGGAAAGAGGACAAAAGGTGACATCAGGCGCATCCATCATTCACATTTGTGAACCCAGCTCCTCCTTTCCGCTTATCCCCTCCTCTCCAGGCCCCAAAGGGGGGGGGGGGGAGACTGACCATCAGCGAGGCTCCGTAATAATGTGCAGCAAACCGAAGCGTCTTGCATATCACCTTTCTCTTCTCGGGGTCAAAATCCTGTAGGAAAAAAATCATTAAAAGGAAAGAATAAGCCGAGAGATCTCAACAGCTCACTCGGGGAGAAATACATTACTTATTTTCAAAGCTCCCACCCTGAGTAGTTGGGCTCGGGCACGGCACCTCCGTGTTCATGTCTATAGAGACTGAACGAGGGGGCAGACTCCCGCCGCCACAGCTATCAGATCTGTTGAAACACGCGGCTTAAGAGAATCCAGATACAGGCACACATTTTATCCTGAGGAATACCCCAAGGATTCTCTGACAAGCTAAGATAAGAAGAACTAATTTCCTACTTTCTTCAATTTAAAGTTGGGAAGTAAATCTTATCCCTCAGAGGTTAAAGATTTGTTTCCTAAGTCTTCTGCCTCATCCCTATTCTAACGACTGCACTCACTTCCTTTACTACTTTGGGATGCCTTACTGTATCTTTCTTCCTAAAATCTTTAAGATGGGTGTCTCTGAGCCGGTTCCTTCTGGAGTTATTGTTCTTATTTCATCACTATTATTCCTCCCCACAAAGCAGAGCCATGCATGCCCAATACACAGCTAGAAATGGGAGTACTTACCTGAAAAATGTCATATTTACTTCCAATTATGACTAGAGGTATTGGAAATGGGTCAATTAATTCACGATCCTGTTAATAAATATACTTTGTTGATTATAGTTGTTTGTTGCTATGCCCTCAGAATTTATATTTACTTAAAGATACAATTTTCCATCTCTTCATAGATGTTGACCATATTTAATGTAAAATTTCAGGCATTATGCTGGCCTGCCCCTGTCACCTGGCAGAATGCACTCAGGCAGTGCCACGGTCAGCCCAGGGTTCCATGATTGCGTAGTCTGCAAAGGACCCTTTAAAAGATAGACCCCGCCCACTTACGCTGTCTTTTCCAGCCCTCTTCCCACTCTCTTTGCTACTGTTCCCCTGGGGCAGACAGGACTTTTCCTGTCTCCCTCGCCTCTTCTGTCCTCTCTGTCTCTGTGTCTCTTTACCTCTTTCCTCTCCCTCCCCTTTTCCCTTTCTAATAAAACTTCTCACTAAGCTCTATCTGCCTGGCATGTTTGTCCCCACCTCGGTCACCCTCGCCTGCCATGGAATCCACCAAGGCTCCCCATCCAAGGTTCCCTACACAAAGGTTCCCCTTGGGCTTTGTTGCTGTCAAAGCGTTTGCTATGGTATTAACTTTCACTTCACGTTGTGTTTTAAGTGTAAAGCCAGAAACAGCAATTCCCCAAACACCATGGTGTCATTTGTTTCCTTGTCCTGCTGTTCTATTTTCTCTTCCTTCTTCCCATCCTTTCTCTCTGTCTCTGTCTCTGTCTCTGTCTCTGTCTTCTCCCCAAGACAGGATCTCTCTGTACAGCCCTGACTGTCCTGAAACTCAGGCTGTAGACCTGGCTGGCCTTGAACTCAGAGATCTGCCTGCCTCTGCCTTCTGTGTGAAGGGATCAAAGGTGAGCGTCATCACAGTCCACTACTGTTGTGTTTCCTTTCACCATACATCATCTGAATGGGCTTCCTCGGTTATCTTAGTCGTTTGCTATTAGGCTTTGTTTTGATCTGACACTATGATAAGACACATGCACATGATGGACATCTCAAAATGCTTCCTTAAGTTTTCTAGATGATAACACTCCGGATGTGTGTTGTATCATAGCAACGGTATAATTTAAATAGCTTTTGGATGATGGAAGAGCTCTGTGACATGTGACAGACACAGTGCTGGGAAGGCAGCTGGGACTCTGCTCCTGCTTCAATCTGTAGCTCCAACAAGCCTTTGCCAGTTCAATCTGCATTCTCATCTTCATTTTACAGAGATTATGAAATCAATATCAAAATCACTTTAAAACTTCATTTCTTCTGAGTGGTATGATACACCACAATAATCACGGTGGATGTCTAACAAGGAGACACAGCCATCTTTCCCTTGTTGTGCCTCACTGGGGTTTGATGAAATTGTTGTAATTTTCTGGTGAGCAGGTTCATCTGCCTCAAACATATTCTAAGTCATGCAGAAAACTAAAGAAGCTGTGTTGGATGCTGTCTCTACTCTGTGTGGGGCTGATGCCAGAGGAAAGCAATAGCAACTCACCGGATGGTCCTTCTGCATGACACTCCACATCCTCTGCCTCATCTCAGAGGCTGCTTTGGAGTTTGTCTTCCCCAGCTTCATTATCACTTTGTCTACGTGGCTTTTTGTAGCTTGCAACAGATTTTCCATGGTGGGCCAAAGATCATTAGGTTTGGAAAGATCCAAAACAAGAACAACAGAAAATGTCCTAAAAAGATGACAACAGCTTTAAACAAAAGATTCCCAACAGTCTCTGTCTTGAGATATGAATGTACTGGAATCTGTCTCAGGTAGTTTACGGATGTCCTGGCATACCCTTATTCTAAGACAGGAGTACGGGCAAGAACTCAGAGATGCAGCCTTGTGTACTGGGATGTTCTCCCCGACTGGACCTCAGTAGTACAACGAAAACCAACTCAGTTCAGACAGAGAAGCTGAAAGCAAAGCAGTCCAACAACATCATGTTCAGACCTAATTTCACCCTGTGTTTCAAAAGAGGAGCAAAAATCTCAATACCCATGATAGCAGCAACACAACAATATGAACAGAAGGATATGGATGTACTGACACACCTTGCTGGGAAGCCAGCAGGCTGACTGAACCTTCATGAGAGCTCTCCCTAGACAATTTGATGATGCCCATTTCATGGATCTGAAATCAGAAGTGTGCATTCATACAACCAATAAACTGAAGAACTGCTTTTAAGTCAAAGTTATGCTCCAGCTACACTCCTGTGGAAGCACAGCCTTTACTAGCAGAGGACACTGCTGTCACCACAGGCAGTGGATTCCATTTCTACACATTAAACATAAATCTAAACTCAACAACAACAAAACTATCCACTTAAACATGGATTCAATAATCCTGAAGAGACATGGTGTTGGCCAAGAAGCACAAAAGGATGCTTAGGGCCTGGAAAGATGGTTCATAAGTTAAAAGGCACTGGCTGTTTGCCCAGAAAATGAAGGCTCAATTCCCAGCACCCTCAGGGAGACACAGAGCCATCTGTGACTCTAGTTTCAGACAATCATTTCTTCATTACTGTAGAACCATATAATGCACATGTATTTTAGTTGTATTTACTTCACATAATAAACATGTACTTACTTCACTATAGAATCATATAATAAACATGTAACTAAGTATTACTTAGTGCTTTAATATATTATGCTTTGTTTTATAGTCATATTTTTGTTTTTAAAGACTGGTACAATCTTTTTACTGTGGTCAAATATATACAACATAAAAATCATTTAAAAATAGGCAAAAGAGAGATTGATTGCCCAGTTCTTTTCTACTATTAAATGTTTTGTTTCTAGTATTTGTATTGTTTTGTACTTTATGGCAAATGTTAGTCAAAAAAACAGCTTTAAAATTCTTAAAGTCGGATCAGACTTCAGGAAATGTTCAATTGCAAATTATCTAAAGTATGTGGAAGCACTCAGTTCTATGAACATTTAAAGGTAAACAATGTCTAATGGCATGTGGCAATGTATCAGTTTCTCAATTTGCTGGGTTTTGCAAAAAAAAAAAAAAGGGGGGAGGATTATGTGTAAACGAATTCCAGTTTAAAAATTTGTTGTGATTAGCAACTATGGGAAGTGAAATCCTCTTCAACCCCAGGTCTCTGGCCACTCAGCAGCCAACTTTGGACCCAGAGCTGGGCCTATGATGTTCCTTCCTATTTATTACAACTGAGAGCCTCCCCCAAAGCTGGCTCCAGCTGTCCTAGAGCTCAGAGACAGGACGACTCAGACCTCACACAACAAGATATTAAAGAAGCACATTAAGATTTCACTTCCTGTAGAACCCCGAATTTCCAGAGCCTGTCTGACCCCAACAGTCTCAGAGTAAATGAAGAGAAGAGAGGTTGCTTCCAATCAGGGGTCAGGGTAGGGAGAGGAGCCAGAGCCCAACACAGGCAGGAGCCCACCTCTGGCTACACAAGGTGCCAGGGGTTCCTTAATTCCTCCTCTCTCACCACCTCTTTTCAACTGTCAACTACAAATCAGGCTCATTCCCAGGAAGCTTTGCTTATTTCCATTAAGGAAAGTCAGGCTGGTACAGAGAGTGAGTTCCAGGACAGCCAGGTCTATACAGAGAAATCCCGTCGTCTCAAAGAAACAAAGTCAAAATGTAATTAACTATGTAGCTGTGAAATTCCTAAAACAAACAAACAAGAAAAACAAAAGCTAATATCACAGGGTAAAAGTCCAGTATATATAAAACTGGACATCTTGTCACCAAATGGAGCTGTTCAGTACCAGTACCGGGAGCAGGTTACATCTAATTGAGTTGTTGGCCAAAGGGGTCCCATGGGAATCCCCAAACAACCCTGGCTGTCACCAAGACAATAGATTGCTCTCCACAAACTGACAGCAAGGCCCCATTGCTGAAGACAACACCTACACAACTCACTGATCACGGGGAAGTCAAGCTGGTGCCTACACAGAGCCTTCACCCCATGTGCTTTAGCATCTTTGTCTTACTACCAAAGAAGAACCGTAAGCATCAGCTCAGCTACCAATCCTCCTCTCTACAATGTTGTCTTGCCTATAAGATGTGCACAAAGCCTGTGGCAGTAACCAACTTATATCTAATTTGTTCCACTGTCTGAGGTCCCTTAGACTGCCCAGGCCCTCTAACTGAGACCCATGTTCAGCAGGTCTGAGTCGGTCCAATGCTGGTTTCCCAGCTATCAGTCTGGGGGCCCATTAGCTCCTCCTTGTTCAGGTCAGCTGTCCCTGTGGGTTGAAGATCCACCTTTAATCAGGGCCACACCTCCTGCTGGCAGCCTGTATAAAGATCATGGGAGAAGGAAGTTTGCTTCCTCTACCTGTTTGCTCTCCTTTTCACTGGCAAGTCCATTCCTTCACTGCCTATTTCTTTGGGGTTCCCAGGATATCCTGAAGACCAGTGGAGACATCTACCTTCATGCACTGAATAACTACTGGATTCTTGGACCTTACATTGCTATGGACAGACATTGTTGGATTAGGTGGATCATAGCCTATAAGTCATTTGAATAAATCACCTTTCTCTCTGCACACACACACACACACACACACACACACACACACACTAATGCACACTAATACAGAAATAATAGTTCATGCTCTTAATCCCACGACTCTTTAGGCAGAGTCCAGTGGACCTCTGTGAGTTTGAAGCCACCTAGAGCTTCATTGTCAGATCCTGTCTCAAAATAAAAGAGAATAAACTATATTTTAAAGGAAGAAATCTTTGGATATATTAAGCAACTCTGACCTATACCCAGGTAGCTCTGGAAAAGCAATTGTCTTGTAAAGAAGCCACCCATCCCTAAGGCTCTTCATGCCTGAAATGTAACAAAGAATTGATTACCTGGACCTTGAATTTGGCTCAATAGTTTGGGTTAATCTCCAACAAGAAAGAAACTTCATATTTAACTTTTTTTCTTGGCCAAGATCTTCTGTGGAATAATCCTTTGTACACTGTGAAGATGTGTTGCTCTCACTGTTAATAAAGAGCTAACTGGCCAATAACTAGGTGGGAGAGCCAGACTAAGAGAAGGCTGGGAGAAGAAGGGTGGAGTTGCCAGTCCAATGCTGAGGAAGCAGGACATGTAGAAGACGAGGTCACGAGCCTTGTGGCAGAACATCAATTAATAAACGTAGGTTAATTTAAGATGTAAGAGCTAGTTAGTAACAAGCCTAAGCTATTGGCTGAGCGCTTGCAATTAATAATCAGTCTCTGTGTGGTTATTTGGGAGTTGGCTGGTGGAACAGGAAATACTGCCTACAGAGATCAGTTCCTAGTAACGCAGAAATATCACAAGTTTCCACATCTGATGTGGCCAATGTGTGGGAGTGTCTCTGGATTTGGGGTTTACCCCTTGGTTTTGGTTCTTAAAAGCCAGTAGCAAGAACAACAACAAAAAGCCAGGCAGTGCTTGCATACACCTTTAATCCCAGCACTCAGGAGGCAGAGTCAGGTGGATCTTTGAGTTCAAGGCCAGCCTGGTCTACAGAGCTAGTTCCAGGACAGCCAGGGCTACACCGTGTCTTGAAATAACAAAGACAAAACAAGACAAACAAATGCCAGAAGAGACCTCTCATCTCTAACAGTCTGCCTTCGGATGAAGCTCAACAACATTGCTGTGCATTAAATCCCATGGGAAACTGAGGTCACCAGGTGAAGAAAAACCCGAGCTGAGTTAATTCACACTAAGTCTGGAAAGAATTAAGATTTTCATATTTAGTTTTGAACACAAATTCATCACCCAAATACTATTTGGCATTTTTTTCCTTGCTATCTGGCCTGTAAAGTACTTTGCTGGCAGGAATACACCTCACTCAGCTCTAGCCGAACCCTGGGTCTTTCCAGACTTCTCTGGAAGCATTACAGTTTAAGGTCATAGACAGGAAGGGCTGCAAACCTCTAGACAATAGAAAATTGACTCCAACATGAAGTCTTGTGAAAGCCTGTGCGCATGCGCGGGACACCTGTGAACTCCCACTCACCTCAAGGTATCACATGTGATTGGTATGCTTATTAGGTCCAGTAAAGAAGTTCCTCCACCCAGTTCCCAAAAGTGAACAATGTCTTTTGGCTGAAAGAAAATAGAGGGTTTACAAATACTCAATTTTAAACTTTTAAGTATTTTTTTATACTTCATTAGCACCCATCAGTAATAATTATAGATACAAAATACTCACCTTCAACAAAGAAGAAAGGTTCTTCTTACTTAAAATGTTTTCCTTCTTTTATTCTAAACCTTGAAATGCATCAAATGCATTCCAACAACAAAGCAGAACCATCAGGAATATACGTTTTCTGCTCCTAACTTTATCATAAGTACCACACGAAATAGAGTCTTGAATAAAATTTAAGTGCAATCAATCAGTTTAACATGTGAAATAGAACATTCCGACATAGACATACAGACGCTCACAAATGGCCAAGTTGTACAGGTGAGACCTGAGAAATGGGGGACAAGGCAGAAGGCAGTTTAGGACTGAGTGAAAGTACCCTGAGGAGCCCGACAGACATGGGTTGCTGTTGGTAATGACAAACGAGGGGAAAAGACTGGGGCAAAGCTGGTCGTGCTCTTCACGACTATTTAGCTAAGAGGGGACTGACAGGGCCAGAAAGCCATGTGGTTTGGGACAGTCTGACCCAAGACCACACGCCAGGACTGCTCATAGGGCATTTCTCCTGCTGTCAACTTTTTGCATTGATGCCCAAGTGCCTCTGTCTGTACAAGAAGCTGACAAAGTGTTTCCATCCAGAACTCATAATGAAACATTTAACCTGACAAAGTGTGAAGATTTGCAAATAAATATAGAACCCCCCCCCCATGGTTCAATTAGAGGAAAATCAGGCAAAAAACCAGTCACATGGCCTCTCAGGTACCTGCTACGATGAGCCAGAATGGGTAGACACAGTAAAGTGAGTTTTAGATGAATATACATTATTTTCCTTTTAGGGGACAAATTCTTATGCTATCTAGAATCATTTTACTGTTGTTGATACTTGAATTACTAATGTTTGTGGAATGAATCATTTTTCACTGGAAAATCTCTCTTGCTTCACAATGTGACAAAAGGTTTTACAGCCTTCTCGAAAGTCAGCTTGTGAGCCCTCTTTCAAGTTTCCCATTAAAAGGGTAACTCACATCATAAACCCTGTGAATCATAAAACGGAATTTTCCTGCACCTCAGTATGTTATCTTTTCTTTTTAATTTCTCAGTTTTAATAACTGACTCTCATTGTTGGATCCAGGAAGTAATAACAGGCAGTTTCAATTCTTGACACATTTACATCTGTTATAAATCCTCTCTCTCTCTCTCTCTCTCTCTCTCTCTCCCTCCCTCCCTCCCTCCCTCCTTCTCTTCTTTTCTCTTTTTTGTGACAGGGTCTCACTACCCAATGCTGGCTGCACTGGAACTTGCTACGTAGATGAGACTGACTTTGAACTCACAAAGATCCACCTACTACCACCTCCCAGGCACTGGGACTATGGATATGTGCTACCATGCTTGGCTATACCATTCTTTAATACATTGCCTAATGAGCAAACATTTGAACTAGGTCATTTTATACAAATGTGCCTCTGTAAGGGAACAGTAGGGCCTTCTGTTCTAGACTCTTCTCCCACATACCTAAGTTTAAGAAATGACCCCCCCCTTTTCTATGAGACTTCCAAAAGCAATTCCACATAGGAATTTCTGTCCCCACATTATGTATTTCACCTAGTACTTCCTCTAACTGAAGAGTTTCTAAACAGACACTGAAACAGGTGAAAACAGAATTAGACTCTAGGACTATGGTCTCCAACAATACTACCAAGACTTAGATTTTTTTCCCCTCCCAAAATGCTATGCATGGAACACAGGGACTAAAGATGCTAATCAAATCCTCCAACATTGAGCTACAATCCCAACACTATATATATGTATGTGTGTATGTATGTACACACACACACACACACAGCAATTTAGATTTTGAACAGTATATTTTCACAAATATTAAGATTTTTAGACAAATCAAAAGTAACTCATAAAATGGATATGATGATTCATGCATATCCATAATACCAGCAATAAGGAGCTTTGAGGCAGGGTAACTGTGAGTTCAAGGCCATTCAGGAGTGCATAGAGAGCTCCAGACCAGCTTTGGTATATAATTAGGGCCTGTCTGTGAAATAAAACAGAGCCACCAAGATGCTGGAGAGAGGGCTCAGTGGTTAAAAGTGCTAGTTGCTATTGCAGAGAACCTGGCATCAACATCAGGCAGCTCTCAAATGCCTACAGCTCCAGCTCTAGGCAATCCAATGCCCTCTTCTGGTTTCTGTGAGCACCTGACTCACATGCAAATACCCACCCACACAAAGATATATACGCAAATATATAATACAAGAAAAACACCTTGGAGTTACCATATAGTGTGTGTGTGTGTGTGTGTGTGTGTGTGTGTGTAGGGGGCAAATTCCACTAGAGATCAAATGTGACCAAGTAAACCTCCAGTATTTGGAATGGGTTACTCTTTGTTGAGCTGTTGGCCAAAGGGGTCCCACAGATCTCCCCCACCCCTCTTAAACATCACAGGCTATTGTCAATGTTATTGTTCACCCTCCACAACTGGACGCTGAAGACACCACTTACTTATGTCACTGAACATGGAGAAGTTGAGCTCATGCACAACTATAACTTCATGTCTACTGATTAACATTCACAGTGTTGGGAGGGACTTTGCATGCTACCAGAGGAGAAAAGTATCCATCAATAATACCCAGCTATAAACCCTGCAACAGTGACCTGCCTGCAAGACAGAATGTTGCAAAACTGGCACAAAGGTCATGGGAGCAAACAACTGCTTTTTGACTGGATTTCAGGACCCTTGCATGAGATGGGACCTATCTGACACTGTTGATGAGGCCAAGAACCTGAGACTAGAAAGGTCATGGCCTAGAGGAAAACCTGCTAGTATTAGCCTTCTAACAAACACAGTAATAAAACGACCCATGATGGCAATAGCTATACCCCGTATCAGTGCATTGCTCATCTCATCAGAGAAGCGCTGCTTCTTGCAGTAGATGGGGAGTCACAGAGACTGCAACTGGACAATGTGCAGACCCTGAGAGCCCTCGGGACACTCAGCCCTAAATAGATGTCTGTATCAAACCCCTCCTGTCAAGGCTTGGGGACCTCTGTGGAAGGGGAGGTGGAAAGATTGTTAAGAGCCAGAAGTGGTGGATGACCCCAAGGAAACAGTGTCTTTCATACATAACAGGGTTGACCCACACATAAACTCACAGAAACTATGACAGCACGCACAAGGGCGACATACATTTAAGCTAGATAAAATCCCAGCAAGGAAAGGGGGAGCAGGCACCAAGTTCCTGACCAAGAAACCATGTGCAATTGATACCTTCTGGGAGAGGGAAAAACCAGTTCTCCCCTGGTGGAGTGCCGCTGGGTATATCAACAACACTCCAAGGCAAGCCTCGTCAAGTTCAGCAGCAACTGGTTGACAGATACAAAAGCATTCCATGCTTTTCTTTTCTGTGTGCTTTTTTGTTGTTGTTACTGCTTTGGTGCTTCTTGTTTTTATTTGTCTGTTTGGGGTTTTTTTTTTGGTCTTTTTTGTTTTGTTTGCTTGGGTTTCCCCCCCCCCCCTTTTGATTTTGAGAGAAAGAACAGAAAGTTAGGTGAGGAGATAGATGGAAAGGATCTGGGAGGACTTGGAAGAGAGGGAAAGTATGTTCAAAATTTATTGTATGACAAATCTAAAAAATAATAAAAAATTACAAAAATGGAGACAGTAATAATGTTATTTTCATTTGAAAAATAGAAGTCCCATCTATATAATTACTAGAAGTAGGTAAAGAACTCTCTGCCATTAAGTTCCAAAGAAATCTTATTTCATGCTGGGCCTGGTGTCACATGCTTATAGTTCCAACAATACCCAGAAGGCTGAGACAGGAGGATTGCAAATCTGGGACCATCTGGGCTAGACACAAAAGATCTAGTCTAAAATAAAATAAAGTATCATATACAAAGCAAGCAACTCATGATATTAAGTAGGCATAATTAGGCCAAAGAACTGTACAGACAATGTGAACAACACTTTAGGATACCATAGAGAAAGTGAAAATGTCTTCACAGATTGGGTGAGCTACACAACAGCGGAACTGCATCTGACGTCTAACAACACACGTCTATGACACGCACCATTGGTATGGTTACTATTTGCAGAGAACATAGAGCCATCTCAGCACCATAGCTTCCCATCTAAGGCACGAGCTGTGACTTCAAAGTGAACTCACTGTGTTGTGTCCCTTTGTTCTTCTTCCGTACGTGTATTCCAAAGCTAAGGTTGGCTTTGCTGGCTCATCCCTGGACAACACAGGCAGAGTTGTTAGCACGATGCTGGACCCAGCTCCTTATGCTATAATCCTACCACTTTTACTTCCTCTTAAACACTTTACTAGGAAAGAGGCTACCTAGAATACCAGCACCGAGGTGAAGTTAGAAAGGCGTTATTCCACAAGACCCAAATAGAGCCCTTAAAACCATCTTAGAGGTTTTAGTGATAGGTGTAGGAGTGAATAATGGTGCCTAAATGGCATGGTGCCCTTGCAGGGGCCTATGGGAAAGAAGTAGGCTGGCAGCATCAGGAGCCATTCTCGGTAACCAGCTCTCTGAATGCAGGCCATGTGGGAAAAACTGACTTGCTTGCTCAGCCTCAACGTGTGACCTAAAACCTAATACCTGTCAACTAGTAAGGACATCAAGGGGAAACTTTTATGTAGTTCTTTATTTCAAATCTCAGCCCAAATAGGAGAGCTGAAAAAAAAAATAAGACCAAGGGCATAAAACCAATAAACAACTTGGATAATATTCAAATGAATTATCCAGGCAAGTTAAATTGTTTGACAAGCAGTTATATGGTATATATTCATTTTTAATGTGGCAAGAAAAAATATGAAATAAATTTTACTGGTATAATCAGTAACCCACAATTTAAAACATCATCCTACATCTGGGGATACTACCAGAGAGCTGAAATGAACAGTTTTAATTCCATACTGCAGTTTATAGCACTTTACCTTAAACTAATATTACACTGGATGATTTGTAAAAAACAAAAACAAAACAAAAAAACATTACAATTACTGTTCATAGAGGCATGGATTAGGCACAATACAAAGAACTTAAATACCAAAGCAGCACAGCCCAGAAGGACATATACACCATTAGAGGTTGGGTAATGGTGGTAGTATTTCTCCTTCATACAGGAAATCTAGTCTCAACCCCCAAAATTTGTGGGGTTTTTCTTAGTCTTATCTTTAAAGGTACTATTAAAGGCTGTATTTAAGACTGAGGATTAAATATTTGGAATCTCAAAGTTATTCTCCTTCCTTATCTTTGGGGGCTAACTTGCTCGGTTGTAGCTGGAACAAACATGGATGCTGTCTCATAGAGGTTACATACACTCACCTGTCAAGACACCGTAGAATAATAGTCGTCTTTCCCTAGAAATTAACAAGAGAGAATGCTGTGTTAATGTCACCCACATGTAAGATTTTATTAGTGTTCCTAACTGTGGCCCAAAATAGCTTTTGAAATCATTTGAGTGATAAATTACCTGGAAACTAAAAGCTAGAAACTTTCAAATTTACTTGAAAGTTTGATAAGTGGGAAAAGCGAACCGTCAACTTTCTATCACAATGTAACTACACTGCTATTACTGTAATTATAAATTCCCACAGATGACAACTATAGCTATCACATCTCACTTTTGTGGTCACCTGACATCTGTCTTAAACTTTCTCTTTACTCGGCAATGCTAATTACTGGTTAGGCTGATTGGTGTATTCTAAAATGTTTCCATCCCAATTGTTGAAGTGGAATTAAAGGGAAAAGATAACATACAAATAAAAGATGTTCTATAGATAGGCTCAAACACTCTACTATTTTTTTTTAATTCTAGAGGATGTATTAATTCCGGCTTCCTTTTCAGGAGTCAAGAAATATAGGCTCTATCCACTAACCATGAAACTTATCCAACATCCCACCCAGAGACTAGTTCAGTGAAAAAAACTGAATGCCTCCTTGCAAGGAAGGGTTGTGAAAGCCTTGGAAAGGGACAGCCTCACCAGAGGAAGTGTCTTGGCTCAAGGAAACATTTGGAAAATCCTAGGTTGCTAAAAAGACAGGATATTTTACTCTCTATATATGTATATGTGTGTGTGCATATTTGTATATATATGTACATATATATATGTATATATATATATATATATATTTAAAGGCTACATTTTTTAACCAAAAAGATGGTAATAAATCACTCAAGATTATATGTGCGATCAGATCGAAAGAAGTCTTTGTAATGAGATAACTGGAATACTATAAAACAACATACACTGCTAAAGTATGGCTGGTGCTACACAAAACTGAAACACTAGAAACCTTGATGTATCAAACAAATCGATTAAAGCAATCCACACAAGGAACATACAGCTAATTAGGTACCGCAATGTAGAAATATACTTTTACATAATAAGAGGCCAATTTTGAAACGCCTTGTCCTGTTTCCTTTATACACGCATGCATCTGTCTATACATGTACACATGCGCACACTGGTGGACATAACTATGTCAGGAGTATTTCTAATGGACATGCTTGTGTTTTTCTCTTCTTGTGCCTGCTACATGTCACTTTCACGGTTTTATCTTGAATCCTGTCACATCTAGGAACAGCATAACTTCCAAATCACAGCCGCAGAAGCATATTCCCCCAGCCTCTCCTCCAGGGATCCCAAATGGTCTCTTTCACCTTAGGAAAGGTCTCAAAAACCTGCTGACCCCAACATTTGCCCTGTGCCGGGCCCTTCCCACCTTCACTACCCTCTTTCCATCCTAAACATCAGTTTATCATTATAAGCATCCTAGAAAGTATCAATGGCTTCCTTAACTGCAAACACCCATCCTAGAGAAACTCAACCACCTCTGCCCACACCTCCCATCTCCTCCGACCCCCACCCCCAGTGCCTGCATCCATGCATATTGAGTGATGGGGAAAAGTAGACATCCCATGATGCTCAGGTTAGCACCACCTTACTCTCCACTGTGAAAACAGAGACCCGATTCATTCTCTCTCCTACTGCCACCCTCTGTTCTGGATCCAGGACACTCACTTGACCCCTGCACCCGAACTGATGTGGTTTCACTATTTTTTGCCCTTCCAGCATTAGCCCTCACTCTCTCATAGGTGCCCACCTATGCTCGAATACAATATGTCCCTCCTAGCCTCCCATACTGGGTGCTTGGTTGCCAACTGATAATTTTGGGGAAATGACTGCATTTCAAGGATCCCGACCTGCTGGATGAATTAATCCCTTGATGGGTTCACAATACAATGGCATTATTAAGAGGTTATGGCAAGGAGATACAGCCTAGGTGAAGAAGATCCTGGGAGTGTTCAAGTGTTCCTTTGGCCCCTTTCCATACAACTCTCCTCTACTTCCTGGCTGCTTTGCTCCACTGTGGACCCCCATGACTGAACCCTCTGAAACATGGACCAAAATAAATAAATCTCCCCTCCCTTAACCTGTTCCTGTTAGGGATTTGATCACAGTAGAAAAAAAGAAAGAAAGAAATTGACATGGAGTCTCTCAAGTTCTCTCAGTCTCTGGCTGCACAGTGTCCCTTCTCAGGAGAGACTGTGCCCTTCATTCCTGTGGCTCCAGTACCCAGAAGCTAGTGGATCGTAAGGATGTTAACAGACACCCACTGTATGAATGAAGAAGAGGCTGGAAGGAGAACAAGGAGTCATGCATGGCAGTTGGCTTCTTTTTAAGGGCGATCACTAATGGTTGAACAAGAGAAGCATTTACTTCCTCTCTTTACCCTTCAAAATAAATTAATACTCTGAATACATTCCAGAGCAAGGCATTTATTCACAGAACACTACCTGTAAAAGTTCTGGCTTCTTGAGGTTTAAATTTACATTAGTGGAAATGAACAAAAACTGGGCTATATAGGCCACTTATTGCTACCACAAAAGGAATGGGTTCACAGACATCAACCCACAAACCAAATAGGTTGTCACAGTATAAAGAAGTCAAGAACAATAGTCACCTGGAGTGACAAGTAGATAACAGCTCAGTGGGTGTTCAGTGTGGGAGTGTGCTTGGCTAGAGTCAGCGGTGTTAGCGGAAGCCCTTCAGGGATATTCTATATTCAGAATATATAATGTAACAATTTATATGGTCCACAAGACTAGCACCAGTCATTATACATGTATTTATATGAGAATGTCATAACACACATGTATGTATTTGTTATTATGTTTGTATATGTGTATGCCATTATATGTGTATATGTCATTATGTGTGTATATGTGTATGCCATTATATACGTTTGTATATGTACATGTCATTATATGGTATGTATGTCATTATGTATGTGTGTATATATGTATGTCCCTGACAGGAAACTGTTGACATATTAGACATAATATAAAGATCACACTCTTCTCTGGTGTTGTAATTCCAGCCCTTGGGGAAGTTAAATCATGTTAAGGCTAGCCTAACCTACATGTACTGAGACAGTCTCCAAAAAACATTTTTAAATGAAGAAATATTATAAGGAAACAAAATTACTCCCAATGGTAAACCCATACTCACATAGTTAAAAACTACAAACATAGTACCTGTGATAATTTTATTTATGTGTCATGCGTATGTATGTGTGTGTGTGAAGGTCAGATGTTGGTATCAGGTGTTTTGCTCAATCTTACTTTTTGCTTATTTTATGCTGCATCTTATTTTTTGAAATGTAGTCTCTCACTAGACCTGGAGTTCATGAACTGGGCTGGACTGGCCAAGGTTCAGGGACCTACCCAAGCCCATATGACACATCCTAGCTTTTACATGGATGCTGGAGATCTGAATTCAGACCAGGCACTCTATCAACTGAGACAACTTTTTTTTTTTCTAGCCCATGAAAGTTTTATGTTAAATAATTAAATTCAGATTTAAATTAAAAAGTGCAGCAAGTGAGCTGATAAGAAAACATTTGAAAGTACAGAAATTAAAATGAAAATACAATAATTAAACATTTACTGCCCAAAAATTATTTATCTTTGCACATTAATTAACAGGTCAAATTATACATAAAATTTATATCCTGCTTATTTCAATTCACATTATTTTCTTCCAAGACACTTAACTTTTTTCTTTTAAATTTTAAACTTGATTTTTATTTTTATTTATTTTTATATGTATGGGAATTCTGCCTATGTGTAGGTCTGTGCATAGTGTGCATGCCTGGTGCCTGAGGAGGCAAGAGGGTTTCTGATCCCTTGGGACTGGAGTAACCATCAGTTGTGAGCTGCCATTGGGTGACAGGACTCAAACTCAGGTCCTCTGGAAGATCATCCAGTGATCTAAACTGTTGAGCCAACTCTCCAGCCCCAACTTCTTTCTTGTTATATAATTATTTATGCCAATAAATATGATAAATGGAGACAAAATCACAAAAGAAGATACCTAGTGCTCTGGGGCTATTTCTGAGCAGATGCTGAGACCTGAGGGGTACTTAGGCTGCCCACTGAACACACAGCCTCACTGGTTCAGAACTTTATTTCTGCAAGCTTCCTGGTTTTCAGAGCCCTTCCATGGAAGCATGGACCACAGAGAATGAACAGAAACATGACTTCCAAACAGAACAGAGCTCCATGCTACACGGACTCCAGCATCTGGCAGCTTGCAAGCCTTGACCTTATGTGGACGGAGTCATTGGCGGCCCTGCGTTGCACACAGGAATTCTGTGTGTGTGGACATGATATGTCTGTTCTTGCTGTGTGACCACAGCCCACATCGTCAGTACACTTGGTCAAGTGACCTTTCAGAGAATGGGGACTACCACCTCATTCCCCACATCCTCCAAAACAACTGTTTGATAACATCGCTGACACAACTCAACTATCCCTTCACAGAGATTCCTGAAAGTGAAGTCACTGAGACCAGTGTGAATATTGCTGAGATACTGACTTCCTGATTTAGGGTGTTGACTAAGACATTTAAATAGATCTTGGCCTTTATATAAAATCAAAGCAGAAGATCTGAATACTTCAAATTATGAAATAAAAATTGTTAGGAGTCTTCCTAACGCTTTGTTCACGGTTATAACTTTTCCTAGAGCAATGGTAAGCCCTTTCTAATCTATGCTGATTCAGACTGACCGTTTGATTAAGGATTTGAAAATATGTAAAATTTATCAAGGTATTAAAGTAAAATTTGTCACTGATTGCTAAATCATCTCAACAACTAAAGAATATTAAAGAATCACCCCGTTTTTACTGCCAATGAAGAAAACGGATTTTTCTCCAATTTCCACTCCGTCCCCTTCGCTTCCATGACTTCTCTTTTTTTCCACTTCAGCTTTTGCAATTTCCCAGAGAGTTTCGCTGCATAAGAAGTAGAAAAACAAAAGCCATAGAAACAGGAGGAATCATTAGAAGTAGTTATTTCCAACAGAGAAATTTTGTTTCAGTAAGATTTATAAAAATACTATTTCCCAGAAGTCAATAACCAGGTAAAACACTGATGGGTTTTCTAGTACCCTTCACCCAGAAACGGTCCGTGAAGAACACTGAAACTGATAAGCTGGGTGGCCTAGCTTCCATTCCACTGCTGTGATAAAACACCTTTGTCTGCCTCACAATTGCAGGAGTCATGGCAAGCAGGTAGCTCAAGGCAGCAGGAGCGTGCCACAGCTAGGCACGCCCACAGTCAAGAGCAGAAAGGATGTATATATGTCTATTTGCCTTCTTGGGTGGACTAGCTGGCCAGGAAGCTCCAGCGATCCTCCTGCCATCAACCCCTCCCCAAAGTTGAGAGTTTATGGACAACTATCCTGCCCCTTGCATTTTCGAACCTCAGGTCCTCATGCTTGAACATCAAGCACTTTATTCACTGAGCTATCTTCCCAGTCCTAGGCAAATATTTGTTAAGCAAGTAATACATGCAAGCCTCTGTGCTAATCACCAGGCTCTCCTCTGTTTCTTCGTCTCTGAAATGCCAATTTTTTAAAAAAGTGTTTCTGCTTTTGGGGGCCATAGTAATTGTTATGATGTCCCTGTTCATTTAGTTTTAGTCGCTGGCCTTTTAAAATACAAAAGCTAGTGATGGCCTATAATTATTACTAAGCAAGAATTAGAAACTGGAGTGATGGCATATTTAAATGGTAATGTGTCTGCCTAACATTCGTGAATCTTTGGGTTCAATTCCCAGAATTCCAAACAAAACGGGAATGTTTTTAAATGTTCAAGCAGGAAAACAAAGTCAAAATAGAAAACCAGAAATGTTGAATGGAACTGTTTTATTTCATAGGCCAGAATCCTCCTACTTCCCAACTCTGTCTCCATCTACTTGCTCTGTTTACACAGCATCCCTCCTAAATGGGATTATGTTTCTTAAGTGCCCAGGAAATGGAAAGGGTTCTTCCAGCTGCCATGCTCCCCACAAAAACAAAACAAAACAAACGACAACAAAAACCTCTGTACCCATATAGCTTCACTATGATAACCAATGAGAACGCAATGCAAAGCTGACTCATTTCCAGTCCCTGAACTTCATCAACCCAACCGCAGTTCACGCCGCTGATCCAGAAGGGGGCGAACGGTCCCTGGCCCTATCTCCCCAACATCCTTGCAGGCCATTTAGAGGTCCAGGTACTTTAAAGGACCTTGTAGAGATAAAGAATTCAAACGTATTTTACAAGCCCTCAATATTTTACAACCCTCCACCTTCAAGGAGGTGCTGCACTTTCGGTACCTGACGCAGTCAAATCTTGTACCACGAGGCAGGGGGCCCTGAGGAGGTGGCTTTGCTGTCTGGTTCCAGCACCGCCTGCCCTGCAGCCTGCAAGAGCAAGTGGCACTTGAGAACCGTCTATGCAATCAGCGAACGCTACTGATCTACTTGTTTGTGACAGAATCCTCAAGCTCTAGGCCTGTGTGTGTGTTGCGGGGGGAGGAGGGGACTGGCGCGGTCCTGACCCAGTCTTCCACCCGCTGTGCCAGGGCTTGGTACCCCGCCGCACCCTCCCGAGCCCCTTCCATGTCCAGGAGGGGAGGTCATGAGTGCCCCACCTGCAGGTTCAGCAATACCTGGGCATGGTGGCTGTGCAGCCCCAGATGTCCTGGGCTCCGCGTGGGCTGACCCGGTCGGGATGAGAGCTCCTACTTGGGCCAGAGAAAGTGGGATCCTCGGTTGCCATGGCAGCGACGTCATGGCGGGGAGTGCGTGTTGAAGAGTGGCCTCATGGGAAATGTAGTTTTCGGCCTTCTGTTTGCATCTCAACCCCAAGGATGCCAGAAGGAGGGTATAGTGAGCCTCTTGGTGCACCTGGGACCAAAACGTTAGGACTTGAAGGTTTGGGGTTTTGTTTTGTTTTGTTTTTATTTCTACCGAGTGCCGACTTATGCCAGGGGCCTCTGCTCTCTCGTCTTTAGCATGCCCCCCTCCCACCCTTGCCATGATTTGGAAATAGAAGCTAAAACAATGTTGAGGTGTTATCTAATAATTTGGTAGAAGAAAAATTCAACAATACAATTGAAACCAAAATAAGACATGCAACATTTCCCCCAGCATTCTCAACGATTGGCTGATGTTTTATGAGGCAGTACATTATTCATTAATAACTCAATGAAGTGTGTGTCTCTCCTACATACTTAATTTCCTTTTTGAAGGTGAATTACATTTGTTTGAATTTTGTGGGCTCTTTATAGACACCCCACTGTAGTTTTTTTTTTAAATCTTAACTCTTTGCTCTTTGGGAGCCCATCACCCAGCTCCCAAATAACTCACACATAGTGGCTTATTATTACTTACAAATGCCTTGCCTCAACTTGGCTTATTTCTAGCCAGCTTTGCTTATCTTAAATTATCCCATTTTTGCTTTGGGATTTTTACCTTTCTCTATTCTATATACTTTTCTTTATTTCCTACTCGGTGGCTGGTTGTGTAGCTGGGTGGCTGGTCCCTGATGTCCTCCTCAGCTTCTTGTTCTTCAGTCCTCATTTTCTCCTGTTTATTGTTTCAACCTGCCAGCCCCACCTAGCCTTTCTCCTGCCTAGCTATTGTCCATTCAGCTCTTTATTAGACTATTCAGGTGTTTTAGACAAGCAAAGTAAGGCAGCTTCATAAACAAATGCAATGTAAAAGAATGCAACACATCTTTGCATCATTAAACAAATATTCCACAGCATAAACAAATGTAGCACATCTTAAAATATTCTACAAACCCTTCTTTTTAGAAATCCCTACAAAAATATATATAGACTATTTCCATATGCAAACCCTGTGCTATTACGGAGTAAGAACTCAGCCTTCAAAACAGTTGTACATAGCTCGTTGCAATCATAATTCAAGGTAAGCAAGCTATTGTAGAAGAGGTGTAGAAGTGACCACACCTGAGGAACTTGTGGGAACATTCATGGCAGGTTTGCCTGTATTGGTTATGAGGAGCCACGTAAGAGTTTAAAGTGGGCATGCTTTGCCTGGTCCTGTGTTTCAGGGAGATAATTTTTTGCAGCTGTGTGGGGGATTTTTTTGGGAACCTAGAGGACCATATGGAGACTATTAACAGCAGCCAGGAAAGTGGCAGAGTTCTTCTATCTTCCCCTTTGTTTTCAACATTTCTTGCAGGGAAAATAGTATACAGAGGAAAAGAAAGAGAAGAGGAGATGTGGTTCAGCGCTAGAATTCTTGTCTAGCTTTCGAAGTCTTACACTGAGTCCCTAGCACTTAAGCAAAAGAGAAAGAAAAGACAAAAAAGAAAAGCAGGGAAAATGATGATGGGGAAATGTTTACCCCAGAAGAAATAAACATTCAACATTTTGATGTCTTTCATCAAATTTTTTCCCTTGGAGTTAATACTGAATGTTGTTAAAATCTGGGTTTTAAGCATATATTCCCATATATCAATTATAAATTCATCGGAACGAGACTTGCTGCCCACACATTATTCTACTGTGCAGATTTGCTTTCATAATTTCTTTTGGCATCCATCCAATGCTGAGTTGTCTTGGCATAAACATGAAATATGAATTGGGTTAATCAGAGTCCTTCCCTGGGATTTTACAAGTTGTGATTGGAAAAATCGGGTCATTCCCTTTAGGAGAAAATTACCATATGTTCTGCTAAATGTAGTTCAAGTACACGAAGCAGACATATTAGTATGAACAGAAAGTCCTGGTTTAAGTCCCCAGGATTTTCCCAAGGCCCATCCTTGTCCTTTTCTTATGACTTCATTTGCCTATTTGAGGCATCCTAGTATCTTTGTAATGATGGAGAAGTGAATTTTATTGTTTTTCTGAGTTAGTTCAAGATGAACTTTAGAAATTTATCCCAAACATCTCTGCTTTCCAAAGATCCATATTAGATAGTATAAAGATTCAGGCATTATGCTGGCCTGCCCCTGTCACCTGGCTGAATGCACTCAGGCAGTACCCTGGTCAGCCCAGGGTTCCATGACTTAGTCTGCATGCAGGTGCAAAGGACCCTTTAAAAGACAGACCCCTGCCCACTTATGCTCTTTCCAGTTCTCTCTCCCATTGTTCCCCTGGGGCAGACAGGACTTTTCCTGTCTCCTTTTTCTCTTCTGTCCTCTCTCTGTGTCTCTTTAACTCTCCCCCTTCTTTTCCTTTCTAATAAAACTTTACTAAGCTCTGTCTGCCTGGCGTGTTTGTCCCCCACCTCGGTCACCCTCGTCTGTTATCTGTCATGGAATCCACCAAGGTTCCCCTCACGCTTTATCATAACAGATAGTAGTTGTAGCAGAGGAATGGAAAATCCTGTAACCAGGTGTTGATGGTCCAGAGGATGAAAAGCAAGTTTAGAGGGCACTGCGAATTTGAGAAAGCATCTGGATGGACCACCAGGGGGCGCTGGATGAGGTCAATATTTAGGTAGAATAGGGGACATGGTATATCAGTACTGATGACACCAGCTCCCGAGAAACACCATCACTATGTTCAATTTAGGTGAAGTTGCATTTGACAAATATGGCAGAGTTTGGAGCAAATGTCTTCTCATCTCATCCCAGCTCCCTGCACTTGCCTATCACCTCTTTGTCCACCTTCTAAGTTAAATGACCTAGAACATCTTGATAGCACCTAAAACTATGGAAACATTTCATGTCCTAAACATCTATGTGCGAACTTAGTTTAATTTGGAGGCTTTTTGTTTGTTCTGTTTTGTTTTTCAAGACGGTCTCTCTGTGTAGCCTTGGCTATTCTGGAACTGTAGACCAGGTTGACTTTGAACTCAGAGATTGGCCTGCTTCTGCCTCCTGAGTGCAGGATTAAAAGTGTGCAACACCACCTCTGGTCTTAATCTGGAACGTAAAGGGGATTAGAAGTTTCTCTTCTGGCTGCAAGTCCCTTTCTTCTTTTAGGGAAAAGGGAACGGAGGGTAATCTGAGGTGTGTTAGCAGAGGGTGTCCACATGCTCCTTCCTGTGCCTCACTGCACTCTGTCATTCATGCCCATGCCTTAGCCCTGCAGAAATTAGCTTAGGGCCAGGGTGAGTGCAGATTCTGTGGCAGCCCAGAGGCAGCACACAGGGAAACTGGCATTCTGGAGATAAGGAAAGCCTTTACTGGGAAAACATAGGTAGCCACGATGGTTAGTTCTTCAGGATTATACTGCAGTTCAATTAACATTAAATTGTTCTGGGAACCTGGTCATACTTTTTCTCTATGGAAAGCTGTCAGGGCCCATAGAAGTGGCTCCACTACATCTGGACTCAAGGTTGGCAAGTTCGAGTCCATTTCTCCTTCAAGGTTAAAACAACAGAATGTTTGGCCCAATGTGTGACTACTGTGTGTCTTGCCTTGACAAGAGGATATTTAGTTTAGGGTGTGGTTACTTGATGTTTTGGGTACTGAGAAGATAATTATGCTTGCTTGTTCTTCATATCATGGTAAGGAAGTCTTGTGCCTTCCCCCTTCTGATTGGGGTATATATGAACTTTGGATAATAAACTTGGGGTGGATCCTAGTATTCACTGGGTGCCCTCTAGACTCTGTCTCTTGCTAATTCTTTCCTCAATCCACATGCCTCCTTCCAAGCAGGAACTGGATTAAGTCTGCTGGACTAGACAGAAAACACTGGCAAACAATTGACTAAGAAACACATTTTGGGACAAAGTCTCTTTGTAAGTTGTGGTTAACAACTCTTGTAAATTGAGTTAAATTCATAAGTCATTTGTAAGGAATGGTAGTACTTGACTTTTATGGCAAACATGCACACACTGCAGAATATTTAAAATTAATTTTTAGAGCATAATCCATTGAACTTGCTTAAATGAAAGAAAAGGGCGTTTATTAGAAAAGCACAAATCTCTATTTGCCTCTTCACATAGTCTATATGTATCCATATGCACATGCATTAAAATTACAATTTGTCTAAAGAGCTTCCTTCCGTGTGAGTGAAACAAAGACACAGAACGAAAACATGAGGTGGCAATGGCTGCCACTCCCTCTGCAGACACCTCTGCTTTGACAACGAAAACATTAGGTACGGTTTGAGGGTTATTCAAAAGATAATGTTCAAAATGGGTCTCACAAATCATTTATTATGACTGAAAGGGAAGAAAAGGATGGGTGAGAAATATTACAATTAAACATGAAACATTATTCTCTTGTAACCAAATCATAATAATATACTTGCATTTTTAACAATGTCTAGATAAGTAATTTCCCAGGAAATAAAATTTTCACATCACTGGTTACAGAAAACTGACTTCTTTCCATCAAAATATTTTATTTCTGCTCTATCAAAAACAAGTATAAAGTCTAAGGCACCGTGGCTTAAGCTAGGCATTCACTAGTTTGAAAGCTCAGGACAGGGCGTATGGGACTGCTTACCAGATGGTGAATGAATTATTGTCTGAGAATAAAGTTCTCACGAGCTAAGTAAGAACTCTGCCCAGTCTCTGGCTCACCCACTACTGATCACCAAATGGTTTTATGGGCACTCAAAAACACTACTTTATCCCAGTCAAAAACTCTTGAGAGTCACTCCTAAAATGGTTAATCATTTATTCTACAACAGGAATCTGTTAATTGGGTGAGTGGTTGTGGCTCAAAAGATGAAAGGACAAATAACCACCGAAAACCCATTTCTAGGGTGTTTTAAAAGTATCTTTGTCATTACCAAGATAGTCCGGTATGAATCAAGCAATGTGTTCCTTGACTTTGCTCCTGAGGGCAAAACATACTTAAAAGGTT